AGATGACGAGGCGAGGGCGCTGATGGGATGGCAATGATCTCCATCACCGCCCCTCTCTCGCGGGCGAAGGGAGAGAGGCACGAGAGAGCGGGACGGAAGCATCACGTGTAAGGGGAAAGGGAGAGCTGAGCTCTCCATGGGCTATTTGCCCATGGAGACACAACCCTCGTTGTAGTCTCTACGTTCTTGGACAAAGTATCGTAGCGCTCGGGAGTGCTCCCGCGATCCATGAATATCTCGATAAGCAGTCCGCAAACACCTCTGATCGTGTGCAGTCGCCCATGATCGAATTGTGCGTTCCATTATCTTATATACCATCATACGCAGATTGAATACATGGCCGGATAGGTCTGGCTCGAGTCTGAACTTGGGCTTCATGCCCTATGGTCAGTGGTGACGCCGTCACCGGCGCTCCTTCTGGCAGTACTTCCATCGTGAGGCTGCGGAAACATATCAGGAAACACAGCAGTCCGCTGCCCACATATTTTTGCAGAACCTATGTGATGATCCCTCAGATCTGAGGGAGATCATCTGTCTGTATGTCTACGATGTTTGCCACTTCTTCCCAACCACTGACTCGACATCTGGGTAGCAATTCAACGATCGTCATCATGAAGATTGGGTACAGCATCGCTGTCCAGGGTAGAGACGACGTATACGTGAAGATAGCGAAGGATGCGCTCGAGGGAGTTGTAGAAGGCATGGTCCCGGGGAGGTTTCTTGTCGAATTTCTCCCGTTCCTTCGGCACGTCCCCCCTTGGTTTCCGTTCGCGACCTCACAGAGACCGTGGGCGAAGTGGCAGGCCGCAGGCGAAAGACTCAAGAACACGCCGTTTGAACAAGCGAAAGCGAAGCTGGCATGTGACGGTCATTTGTCAGTGAGGTTGACGGCTGATGATGTATCTTTGACTCTCGCACGATCTCTCACCGCAGGCCAATGGAGAGGCTACACAGTCCATCCCAGCGAAGTCACTCCAAAGGCTTGCCAAGATGGGTGTGTCGCCACTAGAAGAGGAAGAGATTCTGAATAATGTGGTGGCAGTGGCTTTTGAAGGTGCAAGACGCGTTCCCTTCCATGAGACTCGCCTGTGTGCTAAGCCTCGTTTTTCGCAGCTGGCACTGACACAGTATATAGGCCACACACTTCGATCAGTCCATGCGCTGACCCCCGTCCTCGCAGGTGTTGTCCACGACGCTATCTGTGTTCTCTGGCTTGTCGCTCCATCCTGAGGTGCTCGCGAAGGCACATGCGGAGCTGGACGAAGTGGTCGGCCCCCATCGCTTGCCAGATTTCAGTGACAAGGATTCGCTTGTCTACATCAACGCAATCATCAAGGAAGCAATGCGGTGGCATACGGTGCTGCCCATGGGTCTTCCACATGCGACCGTTGCTAATGACGAGTTCCGCGGATACTTCATCCCTGCTGGGACGATGGTTATACCAAACACTTGGTATGGACAGTTACTTGGCTTGACGTTCCATAATCTCCTATCCCTAATTTGCACTAACCATTGCGCTATTCTGCAAGGGCATGCATGCACGATCCCGAGGTGTACGAAGATCCAGACGTCTTCCGACCAGAACGATTCATCCGCAATGGGAAGTTGGATCCGACAGTGCATGATCCCACGGCGTTCATCTTCGGTTTTGGTCGAAGGCACATCTCTCTCCCAGGTTGTGTTGCCATGTTGTGATTGACTCAGCTGCTCTGCAGGATATGTCCTGGACGCTATTTCGCTGAATTTGCGTTGTTTATCAACGTTGCTTGCGCAATCCACGTCTTCAATATCACCGCGCCTCTCGGAGAAGATGATCTACCTATCGCGGTCAAGCAGGGGCACACGGATAGCTTCATCTCGTACGTGCTAGGCACATTCTGACAATGATGGGTTCATCTCATGACATTCGTACAGTTACCCTGAGGATGTTCGATGCATGATCATGCCTAGGTCTGCGACGGCTGAAGCATCGATACGCTCCTGCCCGCCAAGCGTTGAACGAGCAAGAGCAAGGAGCCCCCGATCGCTCATCTACGCTAGACCGAGGAGTCTGGACGGCCTACTGAATTTGCACGATGTGCAACGGGACGTCGCAGTCTTGTAGACCTTAGTATAGTACATTTTGGGAGCACTTTGGAGTGGGCAGAACGCGCTGGTGAATGCATAGATTGGCCGCTCACGAACAGTGCTCTGCGTAGCTGATTCTGGCAGCCCACAGAGCCTCAGCAGATGAGCAGGCATATACGCCTCCGTATTCAGGTGAAAGGAGGTAAGTTTTTCTCGTACCCCTCGCGAAATTCTGGGCACAGCTGAACAGAGCGTCCCTCTGCAGACCCTAGATACGTCCCTTTAATGCATGTCCGGAGTAGTGCCTCAGGCTTCGTGTATAGCTCATGTGGGTGGTCGCGCGTGCGGAGAAGGGTCGATCAACCAATTCCTTGTGACACGGTGACTTTCAGCGGCCGAGTAGAGCATAGGCACGTAGTGATCAATGTGATGATCTTTTTTGCGTGAGGCTCCAGTATACGAAGTGGAGCCCTCAACATAGGCTTCTGCTTGTGCCGGGGCTATTCGAGGTTAGGCATGTCTCCCGTTCACAAGCTACGACCGGACAATCGCAACCAAACCGTCCAAATAACGGTCTTCAGAACTCGTCAATTCATTGCAGTCCATTATCTAGAAGTGTATAGGAGCGATACAGTGTGAGTGTGGGATAATGTTACAATGAAAGCGAACAAACAATCGGGGAGTCATCAAATGCGGGGCGTCACAAGTAATCGAAGGTCGAAGGTGGTAGTAGTACGTGTTGGTGTCTCTTAGAGTTATACTTCGCTATCTGCTGTCAGAGCTATATCGAGGATGGTTATGGATGGCGGTCTGGGGAAGAGGGTGGTATGCTGGTGTTACGAGGCGGTATCCAATGCTACAGTATCCAAAAAGAGAGGGAAAGAAAAAAAGAAATGATGATGAGAGAAGGTGAGCATTCAGTCGCTCATCCACTCGCCGCCGTTGGCAAGCTGTGCGAAGACGCCCCGTCGTTCCATGAGCTCCTCATATGAGCCCTGCTCCGCAATGATGCCGTCGTGCACAACCAGGATTTTGTCGCACATGCGCATCATCGCGAGCTTATGCGTCACGACCAGCGTGGTGCGCCCGACCTTCGCGTGCCTGAGAGTCTCCATAACCGCGGCCTGATTCGCAGCGTCGAGTGCAGATGTGCACTCGTCGAGGATGAGTATGCGTGCGGGCCGAGCCAAGGCACGTGCGATCTGCAACCGCTGTGCCTGCCCGCCGGAAATGAGTGATGCGTTCTCGCCGACGAGCGTGTCGTAGCCCTTGGGCAGCGACTCGACGAAGTCGTGCACGTTCGCCGCCTTCGCTGCGCGCTGAATGTCCTCGAGTGTGAGCGACTTGTTGCCGTACGCGATGTTCTCAGCGATGGAGGCGTCGAACAAGTTCGGCTGCTGGCTGACGACCGAGACGTGGTCGCGGAGGTGGTGGACATCCGTAGAGCGGAGGATGTGAGGACCAATGGCGACGCAGCCGGTGTCGGGCTCGTAGAGGCGTTGGAGGAGTGCAGCCATTGTCGACTTGCCGGAACCGGAGGACCCGACGATTGCGACGCACTCATTCTCCTTGATCTCGACAAAAAGATTCTTGAGCACGGCGACTTCGGGGCGTTCGGGATAAGAGAAGGAGACGTTGGTGAAGGAGACGGGGCCGGAGAGATCAGGGGCGAGGATGCCCTCGGACTCGTCGGTGAAAGTAGAGAGCTTGAGAAGACGGTTGAAGTCACGAGTGGCACGAGTGGACTTCGCGATGCGGTGAGCTGTTATTGTGACCAATATCAGCAACAACATCCATGACAGCAGACAATAAGGACAACGTACTGAACGCCATGAGCTGGGAACCGATAGAAACCGAGAAGACGACCAGCTGTAGAGTCTGGATCATCTGCAGGTACGAGAACGTGCCGTTGGCAATGAGTACCGCGCCGACGTAGAAGAGAAGCGCTTCCGCGAGGTAGATGAGTGCACTCGCAACACCGTACGAGCAGCCCTCGACGAATGCGCCGCGAACACCAGTGGTGAGAGCGGAGTCGACCGCAGCATCGAACTTCTCGCGGAACGCGCTCTCGAAACCCATCGCGCGGATCGCACGGACGTTCGAGATAGCCTGTATGACAACCGACCACAGTCAGCAAACACGAACAAAAGAGAAAGACAATTGCAACTCACATCGTAGTACTGCTTCGCAACTTCCTCCCGCGCCCGCTTGTTGCGCACCTCGCACTTCGACACGAGCTTCGCCTGAAGCGCCATCACGCCCGCAAACACCGGCGCGATCGCAAATCCGACCAGGGTGAGCTGCCACCCGCGGACGAGCGCCCAGATGAGCCCAACGCCAAGCATGGCCGACACGACGAGCGACTGGGAGAGGACGCTCGCGATGAGCGAGCGCGCGTCGTCCCCATCTTTGATAAGGATCTGGACGAGGCGCGACGACGCGTTCTCGGGCTTGTCGAACCACTTCTTGTCCTGCGCGAGCACGCGGCTGTAGCAGATCTCGCGGATGTGGGTGACCCATTTGACCGCCAGGTTCTCCATGACGAAGATCTTGAGGCCGATGAGAAGGCCGTCCGCGGCGGCGATCGCGAGGACAATCCCGCCGTAGACGTTGATGATCGAGACGTTGTGCGCGCCGTTCGAGACCTCGAAGAAGAGACGGGAGAGGAGGTAGGAGAACAAGGGCGTGACCGTGCCGCTCGCGAGGCAGATGAACATGCCGAGGACGACGAGAGGCTTGTTGGGGATGGTGGGGATGATCTCGTGCACGAGACGGAAGAAGGACACCTCGGTCTCCTGAGGGGCCGCCGTCTCCCTGACAGTCTCTTCAGCCTTCTCGATGATGACCGCGTCGAGGCGGACGTCACGCGTGTGCCTGCGACGGTGGCCGCGGTAGTGGCGCTTCTCGCCCGCCATCGACCCGCTGCGCTGTATGGCAGCCTTCTCGCGGTCGAAGTCATCATCGTCCTCCACCATGGAGGGCGCGAACGACTTGGGCGAAGGGTGACCGCAGAGCGTCGGCGACGTCGGCGTGAACTGCAGACTGAGCCGGTTGTTGCTCGCCGCAGTGGCGAGCGGCGCGGGAACCGCAACGGTGGGGATGTCGATGTGCAGCGTGCGGCGGCGGAACTTCTTCTCGGCCTCGTCCGATACGCCAGTGAAGGCGTCAGCGGGAACAAAGCGACTCACGGGACGCGGCTGGCGGTTGGGTACGACAGAGCTTCGCGTGAGCTCGGCGACGGCGTCGAACATCCAGTTGCCCATGGTGAGTGGGCGGAACGTAGACGGCGCAATGCTGTGGTGCTTCAGCGTCCGACTGGTCATCTCGATCGTCTCGAGCTCTTCGCGCATCTCCTCGTTCTGCTTCTCAAGAATCGCCTCGATGGGGAGCTCCTCTGCGGTGCCCTCTTCGACGTTCTTTTCCTTGAAACCGCCCTCGGAGTCCTGCGTACGGGCCATGCGAGTGAACTCGCTCTCGAACGACTCGAGCTCGTGCCGGAAGCCTTGCTCAATGAGCTTGCCATCCTTTAGTACGTGCACAAAGTCGTCAGAGCTGATCTGGGAGAGGTCGTGGGTGATAACAATGGTGGTCATATTCTGGCGCCAGCGCTTGATGGCCTCGAAAACCAGAATGCGGGAGGTCGCGTCCAGCGCGGACGTCGCCTCATCTGAAATGTCATCAGCTCATGTCAAGCATTTGTAGACGGACTAATGCTCACCAAGAATAAGGACAGTAGGGTTGCGCAGCAACGCGCGAGCGATAGCCAGTCGCTGCTTCTGACCGCCGGAGAGGTTCGCTCCGTTCGTGCCAAGTTGAGTGTCATATCCATCAGGCAGGTCGCGGACGAACTCGTGCATCAGCGCCGCGCGGCAGACCTTGACGACCTCCTCGCGGGTGACGTCCTGCGGCTTGCGCTTGCTTCCTGGGCCGGCGAGGCCCATCGCGACGTTGTCGTGCACGCTCATGTCGAACAGGATGCAGTTCTGAGAGACCGCGGCGACGTGCTCGCGCGTGAAGTCCTCGTCGAGGAAGCTCAGCTCCTGGTCGTCCAGGAAGATCGAGCCCGAGCTGGGGGTGTACATGCGCAGGAGCAGCTGGGCGAGCGTCGACTTGCCGGATCCGGAGCCCCCGACGACGAACGACGTCTCCTGGGGCGGGAGGAAAATGGAGATATCCTGTAGGACCGGCATGGTGGGACGGGAAGGGTACGCGAAAGACACGTCGCTGAGCTCGAAGTGACCGCTGCACTTGGGTAGACGGATCTTCCTGAACGTCGCAGAGGGGCGGCGAGACTGGGACTTAGTCGGAGAGAGCGGGATACCGTATGGGCTGGACGTCGACTGTGACTGAGCGAGCGTCAAGAGGGAGGCCATCGCAAATTTGCCCTTGGTGAGGATGATGAGCTGCGGGATGGCCATCTGGAGGTTGCTTGTCGCGATGAGGCATGCCCAAAACACGGACATGACGGTGCCGGGGGAGATGGTGCCGTCGCGGACAAGCTTGGAGCCGAACCAGAAAGCCTGCACGAACATCGCCATCATGACGAATTGCGAGGCGGCCGTGCTGACGCCCCAGACGGCGTGACATTTGTTCGCCGCGGATTTGATCCTCTCGAGCATTTCGCTAAGTTGCTCCTCCTCGTACTTCTCGGCATTGAACGCCTTCACGGTAGCGATAGCCGCGACTGCGCGGTCGACAAGTGTCGCAGCGGACGCACTCGCGGCGCGCTCGACAGCGAGGCGGGGGCCTGCAAAGCCTTGCGAGAGCGTCTGGATGACCATGAGGAGTGGCACAGCGGAGAGAATGACGAGGGTCAGGGACCAGGACCACACGAACGCGAGGACCAGACTCGTGAGGAAGGTCGTCGTGTACTGAATGACCATGCCCATAGCCAGCGAAGAAGCCATGCGGACTTCGTCGGTTTCCCTGACATAGGGATGAGTCGCAAACTCATGCACAAAGAAAGGGAACTTACCGAGCAAAGTTAGCCATAAGACCACCAGCGCCAATGGGACCGTTTCCTTCGACGGACTGGACAGACTCCTCGGAGCCCATCTTGGTGTCGAACCAGACCATTTCTTTCCCGGTGACGGCGGAGTATATCCGCTTGCGGACTGCAACAAGGTTGCGCTCACCAGTCCAGATCCAAAGGCTTGATGTGATGCTGCTCAGGGCGAGCGCACCGACAGCCAAGCCAACGAGTTCAAGAGCTGCCATGCCCACACCGTGGAGGAGCTTGTGCTTGGCCTCGTCGGAAGGGTTGGGCGTGGTCGGGAAAGCGGCGAAGGAGTCAAAGGAACGGCCGATGACATAGGTCATGAATGGCGCGACGCCACCCGCGAAGACGGAAGTGAGGATAGCGGGGAGGATGAGAACGAAGAAATCGCGGCGGGTGAGGAGGGAGAAGAGGAGCGGGATGGACGCCTGCGGGGGCGGGCATACCGAGGGGGACGAAGCCGACTCGACGGAGTGAAGAGTGACCGCAGACTGGGGGATGTTGGTCGCAGATGCGGAAGGGGAGGTCGTACTAGTCGTGGAAGTCATGTCGGTGTCGACGACGAGGGACGTCGGGCGACGCATCTTGGATGCAGGAAGAACGAAGGAAAGGAAGGACTGGAGAGGGGATCTGACCACTGAGGGCGTCCATGGCTTTTGTCAATTGTTTTGTGCGTTGAGACAATCGACTTTGCTCCTGAGCGGACTCGCATGCCACTCGCATCCAACACAATAGACACATTAAGCGCCCTTCATTGTGCGTTGCATCTTCGGCGCTTGTTCACGTGGCTCACAATAACCGGCGCCTAGTAGTCTTATTGTCAGATCAGGCTCCCTGCACCGCTTTCTCACGGCCGGTCCCACGTCCACATTGATCCCGCCGCGCGCTCCCAGGACAGCCAGGAGAGGCTCGTCGACGACGGACTGACTCCCCTCGTCGTTGTCCCAAGCAGTACCTGGCTCTTCTCCGACATGTTATTCTGGCCGAGCAGATACGGAGCTTCATGACTCACCTTCAACCAGGTGCAGGGATCCGAGATATGGACCTCGTTTGGAGGGAAGGATCAAACAGATGCAGTTCCAGCTGGAGGATGAAACGAGTATGGCTGGTCCTCGTCAGGCATGAGATAGGGATGGCATATGATCTGTGTGCATCCTGGGATGTTCTGGATGTGCGATGACGCGAGGGCCGTAGCGGCAGAGAAGCCATGACATACCTTGCAAACCACGGCCATCCCTAGTCGTCGAGTGTCGAATAGGAGAAAGAAAAGACGAACGCGTTGAAGTTAATGTCTTCTGGGAAGGACAGTAGATCCAAGCTAGTAGCTGTAGGAGGTCGAATTCACGCCTGTACTAGAGGACAATTGTGGGTTCGGCTCACCCGACTGATTCTTCTGACTTAACCCACCTTGCTTCGAAGTTTTTTTGTGGGACTACAGCGGCCGCGGACTGTCGAGTATTCATGAGGGTGGTTGTGTGTAAAGTTTGAGACTGTATGCGCTTGGAAACTGAGAACGCAGGACGCCCAAATGGAAGCCCCCTTCAAACAACCGGACGCGATACGTCATGCGGCCGACTGTGGCACTGCCAGTGCTGGGACATGTGTTCGACAATATTATTGAGCCCCATATACTCCTCCTTGAATTCTAGGTATAATTTGTGGAGGGTCCATGGATCATCCGTACCGTTATGGTTCCACAGCTGCGAATTGTAGCGAGTATTTTCCAACTTGAGGCAGGACATCAGTTGTAGGGCCCTCCCAGTCGAGCACTCTCTTTAGACAGTTTCCGCTGTCCGTTAGCGGTCGATCTATGCATTCATCCTGTGCGTTCTCTCGACTCGAAAGTGCTACTGATAGTATACGAAGGTTTACAAAACTGTGACGTCCCGCTACACATCGTGCAAATCCAAAACCAGCCGGCCGTCCAGTCTTCCCGTTCTAGCCTAGATCAGCAAACCGGGCTAAGGCTACTTACTCTTAACCGTTCAACGCTTGGCGGGCAGCAGTCGCATGGGAGCGTATCAATGCTTCGGCCGTCGCAGACCTCGGCTTGATCGTGCATCGAACATCCTCAGGGTAACTGTACAAAACTCATGAGATGAGACCATCATTATCAGAATGCGCCTGGCACGTACGAGATGAGACCATCCGTATGCCCCTGCTTGACCTCGATAGGTACACCATCCTCTCCGAGCGGCACGGTGATATCGAATACGTGAAGTGCGCAAGCAACGGTGATAAACACCGCAGCTTCAGCGAAATAGCGTCCAGGACATATCCTGCAGATTAGCTGAGTCAATCACACCATGGGAATACAACCTGGTAGATATATGTACCTTCGACCATAACCGAAAATGAAAGCCATCGGATCTTGCACTGTCCGATCCAACTTTCCGTTGCGGATAAACCGTTCGGGCCGGAAGACGTCTGGATCTTCGTACACCTCGGGATCGTGCATGCATGCCCTGTGTGGAATGGTCAGTGAAGATCAGGGATAGGAGGAAATATAAACGTCAAGCCAAGTATGTGTGCATACCAAGTATTCGGTATCACCATCGTCCCGGCAGGGATAAAGTATCCACGGAATTCGTCATCAGCAACGGTCGCGTGTGGAACACCCAAGGGCAGAACCAAATGCCATCGCATGGCTTCCTTGATGACTGCGTTGACATAGACCAGCGAGTCTTTGTCGCTGAAGTCTGGCAAGCGATGGGGGCCGACCACTTCGTCAAGCTCCGCATGTGCCTTTGCGAGCACCTCAGGATGGAGCGACATGCCGGAGAACACGGATAACATCGTGGATAACACCTAGAAGAGCTAGATTCAGCGAACAGATTGATCGAAGTACGTGACCTATATACTGTGTCAGTTCCAGCTGTGAACGAGGCTTAGCATGGAGGCGAGTCTCAGAGATCATAGTCGCACCTTCGAAAGCCATGGCCCCCACATTCTTCACGATCTCTTCCTCTTCTGGGGATGACATACCCATCTTGCTAAGCCTTTCGAGTGAATTCGCCACAATGGACTGTGTAGTCTCTCCACTGGCCTACGATGAGAAATCATGCGAGAGTCAAAGACCAATGGCAAATCAACATTGTGTTACATACCAGCTTGGCTTTCACTTCTTTGAATGGCGTGTTCTTCAGTCGGTCGCCTGCGGCTTGCCACTTCACCCATAGCCTCTGTGAGGCTGCGAACGGGAACCAAGGCGGAATGTGCCGAAGGAAGGGTAGGAAATCGACCAAGAATCTCCCCGGGACCATACCTTCCACTGGCCCCTCGAGCGCATCCTTCGCTATCTTCAAGTATGCGTCGTCTTTACTCTGTACGGCAATGTCATACCCAATCTTCATGATGACTGCTGTGAAATTGCTGCCCATATTGGTGGATGAGCCAACGGAGCCAGTGGCAATCATGGCAGACGTAGACATACAGACGGATGACCTCCCTCAGATCCGAGGGCCTTTCGCATAGCTCCTGCAAGAAAATGTGGGCGGCGGACTGCTGCGTCGTCTTGTATCCTTCCGCAGCCTCACGATGGAAGTACTGCCAGAAAGAACGCCTGTGACGGCGCCACCACTGACCATAAGGCATAAAGGCGATATTGAGACTTGCGCCAGATCTATCCAGCTATAGCTTCATCTGTGGCAGTGGATTTTTAGCATAATGAGACGCACAGTTCAACCATGGGTGACTGCACGCGGTCAGAGGTGTTTGCGGATCGCTTTTCGAGATAGTCATATATTGCCTGAGCACTCCCGAGCACTACAATGTGTTGTCCGAGAACGTGGAGGTGAATGATGTCCCCTTCGACGATGCCGGTCAGAGCTCGTACAGACTCCAGGAAGAATATAATGGCTCACCTAAGGCGTGGCTGAGGTCGCGATAGGCAATCCACGGTCTAGAGCGCGGCATGTTGAGCATATTGCCAAGAATTGGAAGAAGTTTCGGTCCAGGGGGGAGAGGACGACCGAGAGTGCGAGCTCTCCATTGTGCGATGGAGCGCACATAGACATATAAGACAGCTACGAGCGAGACAAACGCAGATGCAAAGGCAAAGTGAGTGATCTGGGGCATTGTGCTTGCGCTAAAGAGTGACCCAGCTACAGCGGACGGAGGTATGAGAAGGTCATGGGGAACAACTACATGTACCCCAGTAACTTGAACTCAGCCCAAAGGGTGATGTTTGGTGCGAATGCAGGGAAGATACTGCTCGGTTCCCAGGAGCATCTGGGAGGAAGAGGGCCATCGTCCGAAGCTGAGTACTCCCAGGCTGTCAGGCTTTTGAATGCAACGGACAGAGGGGGCACGTAAGCAAAATCAGGCAGTGCAAGATAAGGAGTTTTAGCGATATACAGTCCTGCAGACGAAGGTGATCACACGGCATGCAAACGTGCTACTTCAGCGGCATGAAAACACGCTATTTCAGTCGTGAGAAATGCATTGGAGATGTCATAGAGGCCTATCCATTCGGTTAGAATTTTATGAAATGTCCGACATCGGGGTTCAATACAACAGTAGGTTCAGAGAGAACCAGGACCGCTCACCGACGCATACTAGTTGGACATGCTTGCGAGGCAACATGAACCATCTCCTTACCATCTCCTGTTGCAGGGGCATCACGTGTAGGAAACAGTAAGGAGGATATTCATGTTCACACGCTTTCCATGATATGGATATCATGAACAAACGGTTGGCTGCGAACAGGTCAAGAGGCAACATCGTACGATAGGTTAGACGCACCATCCTCAAGTTCTTCGAATAAGTGAAGCCCTCGTCTGAACTGTTATCAGACGCATCAATGTGGCTGCCACCGTCTTGCAGTCTGCATGGAGGTTCTCGTGGCTCGATGCTAGGGTCGGTGACGATCTGGTCGCGACTGGCAGGCGGAAACAAGCCCCAAGGGCAGTCACGCCGAAAAACCCCTCGACTCTAACGGATCAGTGCAAAAGTCTCTCCATCACAGATGCAATCGTACAATCTAGCAGTACTTCTCTTCTCTTCGACCTTGAAGCCCATCAGCTTCAGCGGGAATATCCGCAACCAGTCGCATGTGCCGAGGCTTCGGACGTCGTTCCTGGAAAGCCCTCAGGCCTTCAGTCCGACGTTCGGGACTCGGAGTCACCCTCCACCACGCCCCGGAGGCAGCAGCACTCAGTCGAAGGGTACAGGCCTGATCCCCGGGCCCGCTAACTGCCTCGCCCCAGGCTTCTTCTCCGCCTGCGCTGCTGCGAACACCGAAGGAACGGGGATTCCACAGCAGTCGCCCCACCCCGTCTGCTGCTGCCCGACCCCGCCCAGATCCGCCACTCCCGCATGCGCGTGCGCATGGCCGTAGTGCGGGTCGTTGGGATCGATCCCCGAGGGCGGAGCGGGGAGAGGGCCGTCCCAGGGGAGGAGGGAGCCGAAGAGGAAGTGCTGCATTACGGGGAGCTTGCCGAGCACCTCGGCGAGGTACATCTTCATGAGGCCGGAGTTGACCTTGTCCCAGGTCTTGACCTAATGATCCGTCCCGGGGCAACTCAATCAGTACTTTGCAGCGCAAGGGTTGAATGGGGGTCTTGTAGACAGAAAACGTACAGCCGAGATGTCGTCGAGCATGGGCGAGTGCCAGCGGAGGGAGGCGGTCTTGACCGAGTTGATGAACTGAATGCAGGCGAGGTACATGTAGTGCTTTGAGAACTCTTCCGTTGTCTCGGCGTCGTGTATCGATTTTGGGCGGATGTATTTGTGTCCTGTGAGGCGCCGTCAATAACAATTATCTCAAGCACCGGGTATGTAGACGACTAACCTCGCAGTTGGGCGGCGCCCCATAGAAATGGCAGGAAGTGGTAGTCATCCAGACCCCAAACGCCGTGCGAACCTGCAGGCTCAAGCCAATATGTCGACTGCAGTACGCGCATGACCTGTATATATCTATCGCCCAGCGTCAGATGGGGGGGATGTATGGACTTGGCGTAGAGTGATACGGACTTCCAGAACACCTTGACGACCAACGCGGTATGATCGCTCTCCTGGAACACTCCCAGCTTCTCTATTGAGAGCCTGAGAGACCATCTTTAGCCTCTGAAGCTTCAATGCGGGGCACAGTCTGCGACTTACATCCAGCACAGGAAATTAAGCTCCATACCGCTCCCATAGTCGATTCGCGTTCGGTTGCCCCATGCCTCCACGAAGTATACGCTTATTTCGGGTATTGCAGCTTCCGGCAGTCCAGGGATGGTCCTGTGCAGTTCAGGAGAGCTCTGCGAGGTCCAGCATTTGTTCGGATTAACAATCATAGCTCGAGGTGCGAAGGAAGTAGCAGCAAGGAGCATGCAAGAGGAACGCACCTCCTGGACCCCGTCGTAGAACGTCCGAAATGCCGGGTTACCGAAGCGCGACGCCTTGTTGTCCACAGGAGGTATGCTCCTGGCCGTCTCCAATACCCGGTCAAGCACGTCCAACACAGCTCGTACGCCCTGATCCGACGCCGTTCAGCCACATCCGAGGTAGTTACTCACGAGGGATTATACGGTGAATGGGTGGACTTACGCACAGGCGAAATGGGAATGTCGTCTGTGAGCTTCACGCCAACCACACGCTCGTTCAGCGCAGTGATATACGAGACGATCGTTTCGTGTGTCTTGGATGCTTGGAACGCCTCGAGGTTCTCCTTTGTCAAGATCAGCTTGCGCGGGAGGATGTACTCATGACTCTTCAGTTCCTCGGGCTCCAATGAGAACTGTGTGATCGTAGGGGTGAGTACGGGCTCAGCCATGGCGATATGCAAGTTCGGAAGAAGGTGTGGCCGCGGACGACAGAATCCCTCAGTAACCCTCTATGGGCGCCTACAATCATACACGAGCGTCTGGCCAACTTTTCGTGCAGGCGCCTACTGCAGCCTCGCCTTGTTTGTACTACTCACCCTCGCTTGCTCTGCAGTTCTTCCAGCTCTCTGTGTCGTCTCTTGCTACTGCTCACTACTGGAACTCATCGAAGTAGAGGTTGAACTGGCTATGCCTACAGCAACGTCGGTCCTCCAGGAGTCCCTCGAGAGACACAATGAAGTCTTCGAGTCTCTCCTGAAGCTTATCCCGGCGAAGTATTACCTCGTGCACGAGGATACGGAGGCACAGGTGTGTTACCGCGATGATGCCATTACACGGAGGGACCTGGCGATTGATGTCCTCGCGCCTAGTATGCCTCCAAGTACCAAAAGAACAGCAAGAAGCAGAAGGCTCCTAAGCAAGCCATCAAGGAGGCCTCCAAGAAAGCTAAGAAAGACAAGGTTCGCCCCTTCGTTCTGTGCATTCTGACACCAACCTCACGCAAAGCGATGACAAGCTTGACCCCGCAAACAACAAAACGATCATCGACCTTCAAAACGAGGCCCTAGCCGCTCGCTCGGACGAGCAGAGGGGCAGCAGTACCAGAAGCAAAGGCAAGCGGAAAGCCGCCGCGCTCGAAGAAGATGACGACACGTACGCTGACTCGGATGCCATGCACCTCGACGCTCCCATATCCGATGCTGACGACGACGACGAGCACGACGAGGAGACGGGGGAAGCTATGGACACTGACGCCGCGCCGGTGCCCATGCCTGAATCGGGCGGAATCGCCGCTTTGAGGGAGAAGCTGCACGCACGGATGGCGCAGCTGCGGAACAGAGGCAGGGGACGGGGTATGCAGGGTGGAGAGCCGAGTAGCAGGGACGAGCTGTTGGAGGAGCGGAGACAGCAGCGTGCGGCTATGCGCGAGCGGAGGAGGAAGGAGACGAAGGAGAAGATCAGGCAGCAGGAGGAGCGCAAGGGCAAGGAGAGGGATAAGGGGAAGGAGAAGCAGCAGCAGAAGGGTCCTCAGACGAAGGTGCGCATACACTTGTACTCGATCGAGTGATTGAGCCGGCATTCATTCATGCTTTGGTGACATCCCTTACAGACCCAGCTGCTCGTCCCTGACTCTAGCAAACCCGGCCACCAAGATCCGCAATCGAAGCTCACCTCCATCACCTTCTCCAACCTCAACGCTTCCTCCTCCACCAAACCCCCGAAATCAAAGAAAAACCTTCCCACAACCGCGTCCAACCCCGTTCAAGCCCTTTCGCAGCTCGAGAAGCACAAAGAAAAACTCGCAGCCCTCCCAGAAGCGGAACGCGCCGCCCGTGCGGAGCGCGAGAAGTGGGACAAGGCCAGCGCGCGCGTCGAGGGCGTCAAGGTGCACGACGACGAGGCGCGACTGAAGAAGGCCGTGAAGCGCAAGGAGAAGCAGAAGAGCAAGAGCAAGAAAACGTGGGACGAGCGTAAGGAGCAGGTCCAGAAGAGCATGGCGGCACGCCAGCAGAAGAGGACAGACAACATCGCCGCGCGCGCGGAGAGGCGGAAGGGCGGGGGCAAGGGGAAGGGGAAGGACAAGGCGCGACCTGGGTTCGAGGGCAAGTCGTTTGGGAAGGGCAAGGGTAAGGCGAAGGCAAACAAGTAGTTGTCGCTGTGCTTAGTCTATTACATTCGTGCTCTGCATTCCCCGGCCGGTTCGGGCACTACAAATCGGTATACAAGAAGGTAAGGTAGTCAAAACTTCTAGACGGGGATGTACGTGTGAACCAAGGCCTCCGCCCAAGGTCCATACTGGTTCAACTTGTGCGTCCATAGTCTGAACATGAGCGGTGCGTATACCAAGCCACACGTAACCCCTGCAGCGACCTGGAAAACTGTGTGATGTCCTAGCGATATCCGCGACCACGCGATGGTGCTTGCAAGGGGAATGACAATCAGCGGCGGGAAGATGCGCATCAAGGGCGACGAGGGGAAGGCGGGATGTATAGGCAAGTACGCGCATGCTAGGGTGATGTACGTCGCGAAGTACGTGATCGTCGCAGAGTGTGTGCTCGGCATCCTTCAACAGACACTTGAGCATGCTTTCAAGCGCACTTGCGACACCATGAAGACGCACCCATACGACTTCTTCTTCTTTCCCCTGACTATCAGGTATGGGCGGGGCTGGCGCACCATCCTCTTGATAATCTTCACGGTCACCGAGCAGAGCACCGCGCTCGCTGCGAAGTACGCAACGCCCGCTGAGCGCGTATACAAGACTACAACAGCAGTCAACGAAGTGACTATCCTATTCGTCTGTGCTCGTTCAGGTCAGCACGCGAGTACCCTAGGGCAAACGCGAGACGCACCCTGTCAAGAGCGTAGAGCCATATCGGGAGGCGCGCAGGTCTCTCATCTTCCTCGGCCTGTACCATCAATGGATCGCGTATTGGAAAGCGTCGTAATGCGTGCAGAAGAGACTGGGAGCGGAAAGGCAAGAGGGAACAGTGTAGCCTGTGGTGGTCGGAGAACAAATCGCGGCGAGCCTCTCGCCCAGGCGTCGCGTCATGAACACGCGGAGGCGCGCGCCCAAATGTCAACCCCATCGCTCACTCGGCGACCATCCCGACCCCCGCCAGCAAGGACTCGGATGCAGCTATCCACAGAGCACGATGGTATTAGCAGGTGTACAACTCTCCAACTACGCGTAGATATAATTTTCTTGGTAGTACACTCTCAGTCCCCTAGACCCCTTCAATGTAAGACAAGCGACTAGTCCAGTCGATACCACCCTCATCCTTTCACGATACCCACCGTCACCTCCGCTTCGCCCTCGCCTCCCTCCCCACCCCGCGTCCCGAAGTGCAGCGCGTGCACGCACCGCTCCCACGCCCACCTCGTCAGCTTCAGCACCTCCGCGTCCTCCAGGTCATGCCTCACATGCAGCTCCAGCGTCACGACCAGGCTCTGCGCGGGGCCCTGCGCCTTCTCCAGCGCGACAGCCGCGGCAGACGCGTATGGGGAGGAGACGACGTCCGCGTCCGAGACGGCGAGGCTCGGCGTGAGCTGCCAGATGTGCGGGGCGGGGAGGTGGAGGACTTGCGGGTGGCGCTCGATCTCGCGCATCGCGCGCAGGAAGGCTTCCATCCGCCCGCCTGCGAGGCCCCGTGCCGGAGAGGTTTGCAGGAGGACTGCGCCGAGCTGGACGGCAGCGTGGTAGGCAATGTTGAAGGTGACGATTGTTTCGAGCCCGGCGAGGATGAGGTCAAAGGGTCGGTGTTGAGATCTATAACAGGTCCGGAGGCATCTTGAGCCACACCTCGGCTTGATAAGATACGGGGGACTCACGCAGGAAGCGATAATGCAGTGAAGAGAACTGCGCTCGCGAAACCTATGGGTGCGAGCGCGTATGGATTTGTGAATAGGTTGTTGAGAGCGGGCGGGTATGTGAATGCTGATGCAGAATAACGAGAACGGCTCGGGAGCAGCGATGCTAAAGAGGGGATGCGGTTGCCCGCAGCTATACGAGAACAGTGAGCAATGGCACAGCTTGAGACGGATTCCGTTGCGAAGACGTACTGCTGACGAGCTTGGCATGGTTGTTGAAAAAGATAGCAGTGGAGAGGAGGGAAATGAGCGTAATAAATAATAGGCGGATAGGGAACTCGATCCTGCTCAGACGTCAACCTCTCTCCATGCTACAGAACATCGCAGACGTCCACGCACCCAAGCACAGAGGCCACCTCGTCGCCTTGATGGTGGTGATGACCCTCCCCAGACGAGAGCAGCAGGTGCTCGACCGTCTCCTTGCATACGTACACGGACGTGAAGATCAGGTACACCGACTGAGCAAAAGCCATGACCGTCTCGACCCGCGCGTTCCTGTACACGCCCACGGGCTCAACACAACCCCTCTCACCAGAAATCAACACAACACAAGCACGCACCCGTACGGTCTCCTCGTCTCAGTCTGCATACTCGGACGCGTGAGGTAGTTCGGCAGCACATGCCCGAGCGCGACCCCAAACGCATCAAAAACCACCCAATACCCCAGGCCCGTACACGCCAGCGACCCGACCTGCTGCCCGGTGATCCACAGCCACGCCCCCAGCACAAACTGCCACACGCTCACGCCGATGGCCACAGGCGAGACCTGCGCCGACGCGCGGATCCTGCCTATCGCCGCGCCTTTGCTCTTCGCGCGCCCTCCCCCCACCGCCACCCCGTTCCCGAACCCAAGCCCGTTCGCGGCTCCAGTCACAGCGACGGAGGCGGCTGCATCGTCGAGCGCGTGCACGGACATCTGGCTCGGGAAGGGCGAGATCGGTGCCCACGGGCTGACGGGCACGGGTGTCGGCTGCGTGTGCAGCTCGTCGGGCATGCTCTGCGCCCCGGGCTCGAGGAACGAGAAGAAGCTATGCGACATTGAGTGTCGGTGGTGATGGCCGCGCCGCGACGGGCCCCCAGCGGAAGACGGCTGTGGAGGCGTGGGCTCGGAAGATATGGGGTGCGAGGACTGGCCCGCGGGGGCTGGCGGACGGGCCCCGAAGGTGAAGCCTTCGCGGAAGTCGCGCTGGCCCGGGCGTGGAGACGCGCTCGGCATTAAGATGCTTTCATCTGGGGGCGGAGTACTGAAGTCGAGCTCTTGTGCGCCGTCTTCGGCAATGCTTGTCGCAGGGAGCGAGCCGGGGCGCGGGAAGTAGACGGAGAGGTTGCGCGAGTGGATGCGCGAGTGTCTCCGCGGTGGGGCGGCCTTGGGCTTCGCGCCGTTCTCGATGGGGGAGACGGGAGGGCGTAGCTCAGGCGCTGTAGACGAAGATGAAAATTTATTGGGAGGCATGACTAGTTGTTGGGGAGGGAAGGATGAAGACAGCGGGGAAGGAGTGATTGGAGAGAACGGGCCAGATATTGAACGGGTGCGCGAATGGGCTTGGGAGTGAGCCGAAGGGAGAGAGAACGACTGGCGCATGCCTGGAGGTTGGGGCCGACCATTAGTATGGCCATACGCAGAGCCATTGAGAGGTGGGGGTCGAGGCGGCACGTTGAAAGAGGTGCGATATGGACCAGCAGATGTTGGAGCTCCAGGGAAGGACTGTGATACGGAGATAGCAGACGGTGTTGATGTCACGCGTGCGCGCGATGGTGGAGGCTCTAAGGTGCCGGTCTCGCTTGCCGGAAAGCTGTTAGTCTTGGAGCCTTGAGTCAACGGGGCGGTCGCGGGGGGAGATTGCGGGGCAGGCGAAGGGGGAAATACGAGCACGTTATCCTCGTTCTCGTCTTTGCTCGACTTTCTCCGGTGCATGGTGCCATTCGACAAAGTACCTCCAGAAAGTGCTATTGTTGTCATAATGTGGTCTAGAGTGGTAAGACGTACGGATAGGAGGAGAAATCATCAAGGTGCTGGGATTAATATACGCGGATCGAAGGCGAGATACACTAGTACGCACCTACGATCCTTCGCCGCTCTGACTGCTTCTAGCGACAATCCCTCGCGTGCCAAGCTCGTATTGTCGTAGAAGAAGGTGGGGGATGAGCAAAGCCAGCGAGGCCAGCGGAGAAGAGTGACCTGTGAGGTACTATCCAACGTTGGCCGCTCGACCTCCCCCGCCGCGTCTAACATACCATATCTGGACGCGTTCTGATGGCGACGTAACGCCACCAGACCCTGATGTGCACACATTCCTGAGCAGTGCATCCAATTGCAAGTCATCATTATCGTAGAAGCACATAAAGTCTATCGTACATGAGTGCAGATGTGAGGGGTAACAACATGGTAAATGGGTAAACATGGTATGGAAAGCAAAAGTAGATGATAGCAGCATGATGTCGTGAAGCAAGTACGACTAAGTCGTAGCGTATGACAGAGAGTTCCATGATGATCTCTCCAATGTTCATCACCGGCCAATAACAGAGTCGCGAGGAGAGCGGGGGCCAAACAGTCCTGGACTGCCCTGCGGCGGCGCAAGGAGATGCTCGACTGGTTGGATGGGAGGGGATGGTCGGAACGCAGGGTCCGCTGTTCGACAAATGAGTCAGTACATGGCCTCTTCAAAGTCAAGATCGGAGTGCACTCACGTTGCCACGTCGCCCAAGATTGCGTCGTAGGAGCAGGCTGGGGCTCGGGAGGTGGCTGTGGCGCAGGTTGCTGTGTCCTCCTCCGCCTTGACCCGCGAGTGGGAAGCGTTCGCCACGCACTCGGAGCTTGCTGAGGAACCTCTGGCTCGGGTTCTGGTGGAGCCGGCTCGGGCTGCGGAGCGGCGTCCGTAGGCACACAAACCATAGCAGGTTTCCTGATCATCATGTTAGCGATACCAGAGCACTACTCGTGCAAACTCGACGTACCACGATGGATCGAATTCTCCCCCAGGACCATACTTCGCCTTGAACTTGAGTAGCTCACCGATTTGGCTATGATACAGATAGTCAAGATACTGTAGTAATCAAAGGCGGTCCTTGAACTTACTACTCGAGGTTCCTCTTGTCCTCACGTAGCTTGCCGACTTCACTGAGGAGCATGCGGACCTCGGTTGCCAAAGAACGGCTAAATTCGTCGAGGTAGCCCTGGACATTGTAGGGAATTTGTTCGTTCGCGGTCGCCTTGACGGCCTCGATGGTCTCGTTCTTGTGTCGCTCGCAGTCCGCGCGCCATGCTAAAGAGGGTGATCAGGAGGGCATTCAGAGCTTCGCACAGGGGAGCCCACCTTCCGCCATCTCGCGAATGGTTCCCTCATACGCGATCCGCTGTTGCTCAATAGCATCAAGAGCCTGACGTTGGTCTGCAAACTTACGGTCAGTCATGCTTCAGCTCAGAAATCAGGGAGAGCACACGCACTATCTCTCATCTCAGCCAAGAGTTCATCCTTCGCAGTAGCATGTGAGTTCATCATCGCTGCTTGGTTCGCTAAGATCGTCTCGAGCATGTTGCGCGTGTGCGAGTCCTCCTCGTCCTTCTGCTCCCAGCGCGCCTGCTTCGTCTCCCAGCGCTGGTCCGCCAGCTCGCGCTTCCTCGCGATCTCGTCCCGCTGCTCGGTGACGAGGTTTGTGAGGTCGCCCAGCTGATTGCGCATCATGTCGTTCTGCTCGAGCATTTCCGCGCGCTCCCGCTCATGCCGCTCCGCTTCCTCCGTCGCGCGCGCCATCTTCTCGTCCTCGAGCTCCTTGCGCACAGCGGAGAGCTCCGACTCGAGCGCCCGGATGTGCGCTTGGTACTCTTCGTGCATGCGGTCACGTTCCGCTCTGTCGAGCTCTTGGGCGCGTTCACGCTCCGCTTGCGCCGCCTCCCGTTCAAGACGCACCACTTCGTGAATGTCCTGGGCATGTCGCTCAGCAGCCGCACGCATAGAGTCCACGATAGAAGCCGCGTCATCGGCCAATGCGGGAGCGGGGGTGAGGGTTGTCGGTGACGCTCCTGGCTCAGATACAGGAACATCGCCGGCAGGAGGTTCGCCAGGCGGAGGCACCGGTGAAGCACCGGAGACTGCAGGGGGTAGCGCCGCTAGACGATCCTCAAGCTCCTTCCAAACAGCTTCGCGACGCTGCTGAGCCTCCATGTCACGTCTGCGCTCGGCCTCGGTGAACATCTTCTCGCGCTCCTCCTCGTTTGCGCGATAGTTCTGCTCGCGCTTCTCTTCCCCATCTTGCAAATCCAAGAGAGTGCGATCCATGATATCAGCCAACTCGGTGAAGCGCTCCTGGCGTTCTCGTTCCGCGTCTGCGGCCGCAACGTCACTTGGCCCAGAATATGCCAACCCTACTGGCCCGGGCGGTTGAACCACCGTAACGGGCGGCGGGTAGGTAGTCATGACTGGCGGTACTGCCGAAGGAGCCATGGGCGCTGCCGAAGGGGCCATAGGTGCCACAGAAGGGGTCATGGGTACTGCAGAAGGACCGACTGGGAAGGCAGAAGGAGTCGTGGGCGGAACTTCGTGCGGAATGGGAACGGGTTCTCCGGAAGGCACGGGGACCACCCTGGGAGGCGGTGAGCCTTGCAAAGTACCCTGGTCCTCTTCCATTTCCGGGTATTGCATGACGCTTGGAGTACGAGTTTGACCCGACACAACACGACGTCCGGTTGGTGTATGTCCTGGTGCGAGTGGTACACCGACGGCAGTGCCAGCGTGAGATGGTAAGACTGGAATAGTGTCCTCCGGCCCATGCATGAGTTGCCTGTGAAGGCTTTCAACAGCGGACGGCTCGTGAGTACGTGTGTGAGGAGCAGGTATCGGCCTGCCCTCCTCATTATCTACTTCCGAGATTGGTGGATCTGTTCGCATCACGACATGAGCTTCCTTCGTAACAAGCAGAGGAGCACCACTTACGACTTGGCGACATACGAACGTGAGCAGGTTGTGAAGGCGGTGCTAGAATTTCTCGTTCAATGAAGCGGTGACAACTGTAACGGAAGTAAGCTTACTGATCGTAGGGGCATATCCCTCGTGCTCCGAAAGTGACCTTCGTGGGCTTGGAGACCTCTCATGATGTTCGTATTCCAGCATGGTTGGCACCCTAGCCGTCCCAGTCCGTACACGTGTTGGAGTAACGTGAGAACGTCGACCTTCAGGCTGGTCTTCATCTTCATGAGGCGGAGGAGAGCGTGAACGGAGACGGGGTGGAGGCGAGCGTCCATGTCTGCGATCATCACGACGAGGCGAACGGGCACCATGCCTGTCCTCGTCGCGGGGAGAATGTTCTCGGTATCTGTCCCCATCGCGGGGAGAACGTTCTCGGTATCTGTCCTCGTCACGAGGAGAGCGTGGACGATATCCGCGGGAAGAACGCCGTTGCCTGTCTGAATCGTCGCGGGGCGAGCGGGGCCGGTAGCGAGGGTCATCACGATCATCTCGTGGAGAGCGGGGCCGGTAGTGAGGGCGATCACGATCCCTAGGGTCGCGACTATATCTACCGTAGTCGTCACGGGGAGAGATAGATCGTCCAGAACGAGTGTGACGCGGGCGGTAGCGCGAATCATCATAGCGGGGAGAGATAGATCGTCCGGAACGAGTGCGATGCGGGCGGTAGTACCGATCTTCATAGCGAGGAGAGTAGGGCCGACGATGTGTATCACGGGGGTCATCATAGCGAGGCGACGGTGAACGACGTGAACGCCGGCCTTCGGGAGTACGAGACCGAGATCGGTGTACTTCAATGATCGCTCCGGGCCCTGCAGTAGGAGGGGGAGATCCGTGATGAGATAGATGGACCGTTATGGGCGATGGAGGTCGAGTAAAGTCGGACCTGCCACCAAGTGGCAGTGGGACTTGAGCCGCTTGTGCCGGCGGCAGAACGATGGTATGGCCTTGCGGCGGAGGACTAGTTACCGATGGTTGAACTACGTAAGTCCCCGACGGAGGAGAGTGCGATGGGTGGGTACGACGCGTCCGCCGTGTGGACGTGGAGTGCGTACGAGTAGGTACATGGACGACGGTCACACCGGGGTCAACTTGGGTCACAGAGGAGGTTGGTGAATGAGTCCGTGGTGGTGAATGATAGTGATGTATTACTTCAGGAATTTGGCCTGTCGTTGGCATGCCTGGAGGCATCCCAGTCACCGGCATTCCAAGCGCCATCCCGGGCACAGGTACTGGCATTCCAGGGCCCATCGGCATACCAGGTCCCGGGCCATAGACTTGCGCTGGCGGCTGTATGATGATGGGAATCTGAGGCGACATTTCCGCCGGTCGGGCAGACGGGCTGGCAGGACGCGGCGATGAGGGCAGTTGCTGCTGAGGCTGCTGTTGTGGCTGTTGGACCACGACATTGGTCGTATGCGGCCCAGCCTCTGAGGGATGCTCATGAACAGGGATGCGCACCGGTGACGGACTCTGGTGTGGCGATTCCGGTCTCCCAGCATCCGCTGGCGCATGCTCAGGCCGCATTTGTTCTGTCTGAGATGGTGAGGGCTGCTGCTCATATACAACGCTCGGACGATGATCGGAAGAGCCAGAGGGAGACGACGGCCGGTCAGTGGATACTTGGATTACGGTAGGACCTTGAGGAGGAGGCTGGAGACCCCCAGGAGGAGGGACAACGGTGATCTGCTGAGGAGGATATTGAGGCCCATCGCCGTAATCAATCCCTCCTTGAGGCGGCGGTATAACCATAACGTCAGTTCCCGGGCTTCCTTGTGAAGACGGAGTGGTGCTCTCGGATGGCGTAGGTCGGGGCGGAATGACATCGGATCCGGGAGAATATGTCATCTGAACAGGCGGGGCCTGATACTGCTGTTGAGGAGGACCAGTGTAGTAGGGGCCAGGGGGGATAACGGGTGCATCATATACTCCTGGTTGTGGGAAGCGAGGAGGGATTACTACAGTGTCGGGAGACGGTGTTTGCTCCGATGGGAACCGTGCAGGTCGTACTGGCTCAGCAAAGGGTACAAAACCCTGAGGCGGAGGGGGTATAACTTGCGGAGGAATGACGATGTTACCAGGAGGGGGTTGCATTCCCATGCCAGGCATCCCGGTCAATGGAACCCCCGGTGGTGGATATACTCCTCCAGGAGCAGCTGTTGAGCTAGGTCGTGAGCAAATAAACACATATCATTCAGGAGGGTATCACTCGCCTTCCCTCCGCATAGCCTGGGCAATCTGGTTCAACAAAGGCATCACCTCATCGCGAGTTTGTTCCAAACGCGCCGATACACCCTGGATCTCAGCGTGGCGATCGTGCACATCTCGCTCCAGCCATTGGTTCAGACCGCGCAGATATGTGATTATTTCACTTTGTTGTTCGAGACCGGCGAGCTGTCCTTGACGATTGTCCTGTCAATTGAATTGTGAGCGGGGATCCTCGAGACAGCTATCAATCTAGTCCTTACTCGCAAGAGCCCGAGAATGTCGTTGAACGTCGATGGCAGTTGCACGACAGTCTAGAAACCTCAGTCAACGACCGACAGCGACACATAGTCCCGTTAGATACTGACCGGACCGGGTGCAACAGGAACGAATTGCGGCATCTGAGGGAACGTCGTCCCAGGTGGGGGCACGGGGGCTTGAGCCGGCTGGTCTCCTTCGGGTTGTTGCGGAGATTGGTACCAAGATTCCTGCGGGAGCCCTTCATCTACCGGTCCGGCTGGCGCGGTCGGAGGCCGAAGAGGCAGTCCCTTTAACATATTACAAAGTCAACGCGGCGTTCAGTACGGATCAGCCCAATCCTGTAGCATCTACTTACCGTCTGAGCGTCGAAAACTCCATCTCCTCCATGCCTCTCTCGACGGCGGCGTTGAACTTCGCGCTCAAAGTCAATATCGGGGCCAGTCTCGGGTCGCCGACCCATACCTGGATATGCAGCAGTATCCGCCATCGTCGTAGGAACCTCTGACTGGCTCTCCGTCTCTGAAGGCGCAGGACCAACCCGGCCCTGCTGCGGAGCTACCCTCGGTGGGCGAGCGGGACGTCTAGGACGAGTAGTCTCACGAGGCGGAGGGGGACGTGTGATGGGGAACGTGCCCGGGCGCGGCGGCAAGTCCGACTCGAAGACGGGACTCGTACTACGCGGACGCGCTCTCGGAGCCGGTCTGTATATCAGTGGAATGAGAGGAGGAGGGGCTTGAACTGGTTGCGAAGGCGGTGGCGGGCCAGACGCGATAATATCCAACAGCTCTTCGTCGAATGACCGACCCGGTTGGCGCGGAATCGGCGCAATAATCGTGGGGGGTGCTTGGCTAGCCGCATCCTCCTCGGCCAGAATTCCTCGGAGGATCCCTTGCAAACCGTCGCTGACGGACGACGCTTCTTCATCAACTCTTGGAGGGGGGGCAGCACGACCGCGGTCGAGGAGCCGCAAGAGCCCCTCTTCGATGACACGTAAGCGCTCCGAGAACTCATCCCAATGATCTGCAGGTGCAGGCACGGGCATCTGCACGGGGCGGTCACGTAACTCTTCCAGACCCCGGTTCACAGCGTTCTGAGCGTCCAACATGTTCGCGATCTGCTGCCGGATGCCTGCTAAGTCGTCGCGCACTCCAGCAAGGGATACTGGCGGAGTAGGACGGGCGGTAGCACTGGAGACGGTAGATGGCGAAGGAGACGACGACAGAGGAGGCGGAGTCGGACTGGGACTGAGAGCCGCGGCGCGCCCTCTACGAGGCACAGCGAGGTGGCGCAAACCGATGTCCGAGAGTTGCTCCGACGGCGTGATGGACGAAGGAGGAGCAGAAGTCGGCGACGACGACGTCGAGCCTTCAGGAGACGAGATGGGTGAGGACGATGGCCAAGACGGCGAAGGGGGGATCTCCATCGGGTAAGACTCGGACTCCATCAAGCTGAAGTCGTCAGAGTGATGCGACGACAGGAACGACATCGTCTCCGAAAGCGTGTCTGGCGACCGCTCGCGGCGACTGGGGGGCGGCGAGAGCGAGATGGCACGCATAACTCTGGGTTCCTGCCTCGCGCTCGGCGGAGGTGCCGTCCTGGGCTTCCCCGCACTGGCGTCTGAGACGACGCTGCGACCCACAGATACATCCTTGTACGGCACTGGAGGAGCTTGCTCGGGGAGCGTCCGCTCGCGCAGGAGAGCTCCTAGGTCCTCAAGCGTTCCCTTGATGTCTTGAATGTTCTCCGCCATCTCCCGGTTCTCTGCTCCTCTCGCTTCGTTGATGTCATTTAGGTACTGCAGCAGACGGTTGACATCGTGCGTGAGTATACTGCTCGGCGCATCCGACTGGACCGTCTCAAGAACCGACTTGATGGAGGGCGTATCCCCACGAGGAGTTGTCATGCTGAGCCGCATCGAACCCTCTGGCGTAGGCGGCATAGGAGAGGGCGGGAGCGGGATATACAACGGGGCCTCCTGCATCCATCCCATCAGCTACACCACACCCAAAGAGGTTAGCGAATAACTCACCGACGGCGGCCTCGACGGCAACCTCCTCGCCTCCGTATACGGCGTACCCAACAACGACGGCTCCGTCCTCACGTCCAGCTCAAACTCCGACGGCGCCATCCTCGACGAGCTCATCGACACAGACGACACCGTCGAAAGCATCGACGCCGAGCGCGTCAGCGTCACCTCCGGGGGCACAAACTCCCTCGGGACGCGCAAAGGCGAGTACTGGCTCGGCAGGAGCGAGAGCGTCGACGGCGTCGGCGTGGTCTCCGGGGACGGCGTCGACGGCTCCGTCGGGGCCGACAGCGGACTCAGGTCGGTGATGGGTGTAACGGAGATGGAGGACGGCGTCGAGGGCACGACGCTCGGCGACGACGGGCTGACGTCCGAGATGGTCGGCGCCAACAACGAGGAGTCCGTCGTCTCCGGGACACTGCTCGGACGGAGCCCAGACGTCTCGAACGAGTTGTCGGGGAGCTCAGGGATCGCCTGTGATGCCATGGACGGCGACGCGCGAAGGAGGGAAGACTCGTACGAGTCGTCGGTCTCGACGCCCCACGAGGACTCGGGGAGCGCAGGGCTCGAGGGCGTGAGCGAAATCGGGAGCGACACCGTCGACGGTACCGAGGGCGTGACCTGGCTGGTGGGCGTAGGCGAAACCGAGGATTCCGTCGGGCTCGTGATCGTGGACAGCGTGAGAGTCGGCCCAATGTCTGAAAGAGGAGGGATGGGCGAAGGCCCCGGGATAGACGTCTCCTCGATTGACTCCGTACTGAGCTCGATCGAAGAGGGCGTCGGGATCTCACTATGCTCAGGGGACGACGGCGTAAAGTCCAACGACGGCTCGGTCGGAGACGTGGGCGTAAGAGTCGTCGGCGAGGGCGCCCGCTCCGAAGGCTCAGACGGCTCGCTAGGAACGTAGTCCGACGGCGGCAGAGGGACGTCCGCAGCGTCTAGCTCCAACTCCCTCGGCGTCGGTGTCGGCGTCGGCAGCAGCTCTATATCGGGCGAGGGCTCGCGCGAGCGAACAGGAGACGGCACCGGGGACGGCACAGCGGAGGGGATCGTCGGGATCTCCGAAGGCGTCTGCATGCTGACCTCGTCGCTCTCCCGCACCTTGCACTTGCAGTCCGCCGTCTCGAACTCCGTCTCCACGTCCGATGCGCACGCCTCCGCAGTGACGTACTCCGTCGGCGCCGGGGTCGTGCACACCGGCGCCGTCACGAACTCCGTCTCGACGTCCGACGGACACCGCGGCGCAGTCTCGTACTCCGTGTCGCACACGATCGCGGTCTCGTACTCAGACGGGATCGTCGACAAGCTCACGAACGATGCCGTCGAGGGCGAGCCCGGCGACGGCGCCGTGTAGTAGTCCGTCTCCGGCTCCGTGAAGCGGCGCCTGTGGTACGGCTCCTCCTCCGTCGAGCGTGTGAACGACGAGGACGAAGGCGTCGGCGTGACAGACCGGCTGCGCGACCGCGACATGGACACCGTCGGGGTCGTCCCCGTGCGCGAGTAGCTCTCGAGCGTGCTCAGGCTGTAGTCGTACGTGCCCGAGTACGTGTTCTCCTTGTCCGTGCTCTCCGAGCTCGAGCCGTGCGAGTTCGTGTGCGAGCGGGACCCGCGGGGCGTCCGGCGGCGTACTCCGCCAGACCGCGTCAGGCCGGTGCGCGAGGGCGAGGTCGGCGAGCGGAGGTGGCTCGAGCCCGTGTGTGAATCTCCCAGGAGCGACGCAGAGTCCGTGCCGCGGTACGACAACGAAGAAGTGACGATGGCCGTCCCGGACCCAGACGCAAGCTCGACCGACTCGTCAGTAACGAGGCCCGACGTCGACGTCGCAGTGAACGTCCCCGTCCCCGTCCCGGCGGTCACAGTCCGCGAGTCAGCCGTAGTCGTAGTCGTCCTCGTGTCCGTCGTGTCCGTCAGCCTGTGCGTGAACGACGACGACGAGTAGAAGCTCGACGTCGAAGGCGTCTGCGAGCGCGCCGCGAAGAAGTGGTCGTCCGACAGCGCGCTGGACACCTCCGACCCGGACGAGCGGCTCTTCCGATCCGAGCCGCCTCGCGCGGACGGCGGCGGGGACATGTACACCTGGCCCCCGAGCCGCGGCCCGCTGGAGATAGTGACGGGGGAACCGTCCCCGACGTGGATGCCGCCAGCGAGGCCCAGGCCGAACCCGAGGCCGGGCCGGCTCTCGCGCGCGCGCCGGAGCGCGGACGCGAACTCCTCGTCAAGGTCGGTCATCGAGCTCGTACGGCGGATAGAGGAGCTGCGGCTGGGCGCGATGACGCGTGGGTCGCCCGGGTACAAGTAGCCCTGCGAGGACACCGCGCCATCATCCGTGGCACGGGTGTGGTGGGCGGAGGCGAGTGATGGACGACGGGTGACGCCGCTGGAGCTCGAGAGCGATTGAATGTCGGAAAGCTCGTCCAGCGGAGGGACGTAGACGGTGGACGCGGAGCCCGTCCCGGAGGAATGCGAACTCGTCGTGCTGGTCATAGACCTGATGGTGCGGATCGAGCCAGTCGGCGAGCGGGTACTCGAGCGATCCGGAATCGACACCGCGCGATCGAGCACTTCCCTGTACATACGTCGCAACGCGGCACATCAGGGGCGCAACCAGAAAAGACAGGGATCCCGAAGACGTACCAGATCGCGCTGACCCATCTCACCCTCTCCCTCGCGCTCTCCGCCCCGAGCCTCTCGATCCCATCAGAGTACAGCAGCTGGAACGGGCACAGCGTCTCCATCAGACCCATTTCCCCCAGCACCACTTCCCCCGCTGCCCCGCTGCCCCCGGCGGCAGCCTGCTCGCTCTGTATCCGCGCAGCAATCGTCCCGACATCATCCTGCGCGGTGGGGTGCATCGGGGACGGCACCGAGCGCACCTCGATGCAATTCAGCAGGTCCAGGGTGACGATCCCCCTCCCTCCGCCCGGGGCGATCCACGAGAGGAGGAGCATGTGCGGGTACAGGAGTGCCTGGCATCGTTGCCAGCGGTACGGCGGCGGCGCATGGACGTTGAGGTACCACAACAGCCCGATCCTCAGCGGCTGCAAACATCGCAGAACGGGTCAGAAACGCTCTTACAAGCATCATCGAAACGGAAAACACGCAGGAAATAGGACGTGAAGGCGAACGCGGACGCGAAAGTCAAGTTGCGGCGAAGGCGCAGATAAGATAAGATGCAGGGGCAAAACCCCCAAACGGCAACTCACCTCCTGCGTGCCGCCCGCGCTCGCGTACTGTCCCAGCTCCTCGATGTCGAACGTCGCGGGCAGCATCCCGCTCGTGCTCAGCGTCGCGTCGCCGCTTGTGCTCAAGCCCGCGTCGACGACGCTCTCTCCCCCCGCTCCACCCCCAATCGGCCTGCCGTGCTCGTCGACACCGCCCAGCGCATGGTCGCGAAGACGCGCCGCGCCGCGCTCGGCACGCCTGCGCAAGCTGAAGAGGCCCTCGCCCCCCTGCGTGGGGGAAGGCGACGTCGCAGCGGAACGGACAGATTTGCCGAGGGACGGAGTGCGCTCCTTCCATGCCGCGACGATGTTGCGCACAGAGGTGAGTGGGGAGCGTGGAGACGTCTGTGGTCGGCGCAGCGACGAAGCGGTGGGCGTCGCTGTAGAGGTAAAGCCGGTGAACGTGTTCGAGTACGAGCCTGTGCCCGTGACCGAGCCCGACGCAGCACTGCCGCCGGAGCCCGTGCGGGTGTAGGTGTCTGTCGTAGTGCGGGTCTGGGTGAACGTGTTGCTGGTCGGGGTGAACCGCGACTCCGACGTGAGAGGTGTGCCCCGGGACGGGGGAGACAGAACAGACGACATCGTCGTGATAGGCCCAGAAGACGAGACCGAAGAGCCTGCCCTGCTGCTCTTCGTCGGGGAGGAGGGGCGAGAGCTATAACCGTAGGTGGAGCTCCCGTATCCAGTTGTAGTGCCGTACCCGTAAGTCGTCGAACCACCGGTGTAGGGGAACGTAGACAGCGACTGGCTCATCGTAGTAGTGTAGGGGCTAGGCGAGCGCGGTGCAGGAGAACGGGGGGCGGGCGAGCGAGGTCCCATAGGCGCAGAGAGCGTACGAGTGTGACCGAGGAGGCGAGGAGACCCGGTCTCCGCCCGCTTTTCTTCAAAGAACGCAATGAGCTCACCAGCACGGCGTCCAGGGACATTCAACACCCGTCCGGTCGCACCGGGGGCGGGCGAATGAGAGCCACTAGGGTCTGTGGCAGACCTGCTGTGAAACGGCACGGGAGATGCCATACCTCCTTCGAGGTTGACTGACCTCCTGTGCTCCGTCGCGGGTATGGTGGCGTACATGGAGGTGGGCCTACTGCCTCCACTTCCGGACTGCGCGAAGGATGTCGGTCTAGAGCGCTCTTCCGTGTGCTCTGAGATGGTGCTGAGGACCCTACGCTCGCGGTCGAGAAGGGCATCTGTCATAGGGCGAAAGCCTTCCGAGACGTAGCTCGATGGCGTCACGGACGAGGCGCCGCTGTACTGTCCGGTGAAACCAGTCTGGGAAGAGTAATCCGAGGCACCGACTGAAGAGCCCCCACGAGATTGGGACCATTCCGTCAGTGCATCTTCGGTGTTGGCGATCTCGTCGTCAACCATACTGAGGGCAGCCTCTACTTCCTGGATGTCGTCGATCGAGTTTTCGTCGGAGTAATCATCCGAGTATGCATGTCTTGAAGAGGGAGAAGGGGAGACGATAATTCTGCGCATCTGACGTGGGGATGACAGCTCGCTTCCCGTACGAGATCCAGTGGGAGTTACTGTAACACGATCATGAGCAACGTTAGTGTCTAGGTATGCTGGTCGTAATCGAAATCAACGGACCTGATCGTTCGGAGTACGTGTATCTTGATGTTGAATATGGCGTTTGAGTTGGAGATAAGGTGGAGTAGGTAGCCGTCCCAAAGAGAGGGGACCTTGGCTCCCCAGTCGAGGAACCGGAATAACTTGACATTCTTGAGGAAGCAGTTCAGAGCATATCCAGTCGGAATCCTTGAGATCTTGCAGAAAACGTAGCTGTCGTCCAGATATCCCACCGACGGGCGTCCGGAGACTGATTTATGGACGGGGGGAACAATGGAGGACGGAGGAGGAATTTCAGAGACGACGCGGAGAGGACAGGCGCTGCTGTTGCTGATGTTCGAGTCCACCACGTAGCCACGGTCACTGATATATCCTGTAGTTCCCGCTTGTAGTCGCGGTTAGATTGCGGATGAATTGAAAATGAGAAAACGCACACATACAACGCGTGGCAGTGTTGTTATGACCCCGTCATGACCCCGAGTCATGACCGTTGACGGCACGGGTCATCGGTCATGACCGAATGGTCAAAGGTCAGCACGTGATTGCAGAACGCGGTGGCAAGGCGAGCCGCGAGTCTACTAATAAGCATGATCAGACCGGGAATTTGTAACTTCACGTAGTAGCAAGTCTATCGAAGATATGTATGAGTTTCCTATTGCACTGAGTATGGTCTATGATCACCATATGACTGAGCTAGAGTAACTCTATGTACTGCAATGAAGAGTAACTTGATGCACGTGAGCATTGCAGGGTTAAACAGACTGTGTGTTCGGAATACAAGACCTGACAGGCCAGGAGCAAACTTCGTGAAGAGGTTCTCCAGGGTATGTGAACTCTCTGCAAGCCTGACACATAGCATACTGTGACCCAAGGGATAGCTGCCTCGTCACAGTGCAGAACCTCGTGCTCCAAATTCTTCTTCTATGTTCCATAATGCAGCTGGATTCTCTAACACCACAATAACAGAGACATTGGAGATGTATCAAAAGAGAAGGACGAGAATGAGGGCCTCTGGGTGAGGAATTGAAATGCCTGAAGGAGGGGCAAGGGCTGCAGGGCCCTGGTGGCAATGGCTGACAGCACGGGAGATTCTGATACATCCTTCCTGTCAGCCTTTTGGTTGTGCAGCGTAGACGATTGAAATCCAGATCATATGAGGATATAGCGAAGTACGATATTGAATTGCAAGGTTACATAGACCAACAACGCGCTATAGCGTGCTATACGGTGCCGAACCAGCCCCGCGCGGCAAGCTGCTCGGGGTACAGCGAACACATCACGTGCTGACCGGTGACCATCGGTCATGACCGCTTGACTTGACCGATCCCGTCATGACTTGACCAAAGGGTCATGACTTTGACTTGACCCGTAACAACACTGACGCGTGGTCGGTGTGGGCGTCTTGGAAGGGCGTGTGTTGAGCGCGGTCACATGCAGATACGCGAGCGCGTGCAAGCCTGCCCTGAAGACGATGTTGAACGGAAAGCTGCTAGCGACGCACCTTTACGTCTTCACGTCGTGCTGCCTACCGAGACAGTCGAACTGAGCGCGGCGAGGTCGAGCGGCTTAGATATGGCCTCGTTGCGTGCACGTTGTGTCACGAATAAGACGTTATGTCAGTACGCAGGACGTCGGTTATTAGCTCTTCAGTTGCTGGAAGTCGTCCTGAACTTCCACCGGGGCTCAGGCACCTCCCGCTGACAGCCTTCGCTCCCGTTCACGGTACATACGGGAATTGTCGTGAATTGCATGACGCGGTGAGATAGGCGAAGAAGAGGGCGGGTGGACTAAATATTGCCCCGTCTTGCTCTTATACCTCTCCAAGACGCAACTTTCGATCTCGATCCATTTCCAAAAGTCCGAGGGTGAAGAGAGTGCGACACAAGCTCATGTTCTGACTGGCGTCTGACGTCACTGTATGCCTGTTGCTCCCTGAGTACCTGAGGACGCCAGAAAGCTTGTCGGAGGCGATGGAACCGTCACTGATATTGTCTATGAGCTCATGGGTCGGAGGTCGACGTCGCTCAAACATCCAGTAGTACGGCATGCCGATCTAGGGCTGCAATGCCACACAGCTCCAGCATCGGTCTCATGCGGCGGCTGCCCTCTTCATGCTCTTCGCTTGTCTTGTGCGTAAGTACATATGAACCAGGTATCGCGTCATCGACACCGACGACGAGCGGGGTTCGAACGCGTTGGGCAGTACGAGTCCTCCTGTAACGACACAGCTAGTGTTGCCGCCAAGCCAGCTAAGCTAAGCCAAGCTGACGAGCTGGATCGCGCTGGATCACCAAGCCGGAGCAAGCTAAGCCGAGATCCGGCCAGCTGGACGCCAACTCCCTGGCCAGGCCCCAGCCACGGCTTGACTTGCAAGCTCACATTCCAGATATGGCAAGACGTTGCATGCGCCGACAGCGAACTGAGCATCATCGTTCCTAGCGTAGTAACAACATGGTATACATGCACAGAACATAACACCACGTGTGCATGAGTTCAATATATCTCCCTGAACAGGTGTGAGCCGCCGAAACATGTCTGAAGGCCACAACGGAATGGCTGAGTATGCATGTCAGAAATAGTGAACTCCAGTAATCCAGTGTGAACCTGTCAGCTTATCTGCTCGCTTAAATAGGGCGACACATTATTCAACAGCTCAGTGTCCAAGCTGGATTAACTTGAAGACTGCATATGTAATGTAGTTTGAACACGGCTGCTAAAGCCATTAAGACAAAAAGCAGGATACACGAGAGTCTATAATCTCACTCGTCAGCAGCATTGTAGCGCACATTCCCGGGCTGTTTCGTGCTGAAGGTGACTGCTGCCATTACTATTATGAGGATGGCCGCTGTGCTCAACGCGTGACTCATGAGGGGTCAACACATCCATCCAGGAAATACCAGGCCATACTATGGCAGCCAAGCATCTCGAAGTGATTGAAGTCGCGGCTGTCCCGCCGGGACCTCCCGGTCCTACGAGATACCAGCTTTGGTAAGTATGACATCATAAATGGAGCTAGCCCGAGAGCTGGCTTGAAAACGAGCTGACGATCAGCTCGTTTCTAGGCGTTTCGGCTTAGCTTGGCTTCTTGTAACAAGCTGGGCGTCTAGTTGGCAAGCTGAGCTAGCTGGACAAGCCGGCCCGGCTTGGCGGCAACACTAGACACAGCTTCGAGGCTCTGATCGTCACGCAGGCGGTTAAAGTTCCTTCCAAAGTCACACTCGAATCCTAAGGGCCAATACCGGGTTCTGAGCCAGAATCCAGGTTCCGCCGGATTCTGCACCGCATCTTCCATGCCGCCAGTAGGGGCGTCTGCTGTCACCCTACTATATCGGGTAGTCACGGCGCTTGAGTCCTCTATCTCTCGTCAGCTTTAGAAGTGGGTTATCGGGGGCGTATGAGAGCTTCATGATGTTAGTGCCGTCTCTTTGAAGTCATATCTTGAGGAATATGCACAGATAACACCCTTGGTACCTCTTCACCAAGTCAAATAACAGGTTCAGCCCAGCCATACAAGCACCTGTCTCCGATACATACTTAGTCGAATCAGGACACGGTCCTCTTTTCCTTGTAGCAGGGTACATTTATATACGTATAAGTGCTGTATAGCCATACATAGAGGCCAAAAGCAAGTGGACAACTTGCACCGTAGTCCCCGGCGTGCATCCGTGACTGCTGGTCACCTACAGCTGTCACTCGGTTAGTCACTCATCAGTCACAGTAGCGCTCGGACGGAGACTTTGGCTGGGAATCCGGCGGAACCTGGATTCTGGCTCAGAACCCGGTATCCGAACTGGCCCTAAGTACTTCCCCGCGTCGTTGGCTGTTCCTGCGCCTCTGTCACCGCCGAGGACGTCCTTTGAACCTTATCCTCCCTTCCCTGTCTCCCGTCATCGCCGGACTGGTTTCGAGAGGTCTGCCGGCTCTCAAATAGCCCGACCCTGCAGAGACCTCATCCCCCAGTCCTCTCTCGACGATCCCTGAAATCAGCCCTCGATGGGTGACTCTGCCGGTGTCGGTGTATTGGACGGGTGCTGCGCCATATTCTGTAAGCGTCCCGCCATCCCCCCCATAATGCGCTCGTGCTGAAAATACCGCTCCTGCAGGCATCCAGTGCACAGAGGCTCTGCAGACCTTCTGCTTCTTCAGTACGCCGACTCGAGAGTCTCCGTCTCATGTCGGAACGACCCTCACCAGACTTTTTTTTCACGACTCGTCTCGTCTGATCAGACCGGTCGGGCTCGGGGTCGAACAGTAACACGCAAGCGGGGTGCTGCGGCGCCTGCTGCAACAAGGCCTTCGACGAGGACGACTTCCAGGCGCAGAACGGCGACCCCGTGAAGGACCAGCCGGCGCCGCAGGCTGCCATGTCGGACAAGCCGGACGCGGCGCCTGTTACCGCGGCCTCCTAGCATACGATATACCCATGCCATCGCCTCGTCGAATTCGCTTTGGTTCGCTTTCACTGACTTGTGTCCGTCCGTCAAGCTTGAGTACGCACACCCCATACAGTTTCGTGGACAATATGTATCATATCGGCAGATCGGGCTTTGCGTCGCTTTGAATCTTTATCCATTTGACCCGGTCCAACGACACACGCGAACTCGTCCCGCCGTGCCCTCAAGAATGGAGATTGTGTATCGGCATACTATACCTTATTCTTGTATCGAGGACCCCCTTCATCCAGCTGTTCTGATCTCCTGCCTCCGAAGTTTCCTAGAGCACATTACCTTGTCCGCTGCGAGACCCGGTGAATGTCCCGAGCTCCACACACGCTGAAGCGTTCTAGCACCCCCTTCTTTGCAGCTGTTTGCGCGCGTATCGCACTTTCGCGCCGTCATCGAAGGCTTCGTTCTGAAATATGTCAGGTAGAGGTTTGCTTGAACTTCTCATGAGTCGGAGGAGCGTCGACCGCGTGTGTATATCCCATAGCTTGCAAAACAGCGGGATGCTACCTCAATCGGCCACCGGCTATATCCAGACGTCGTGACGCGTAGTATAGTCCGAGGTCACGCCTTTGCTCCACAGTCTCTGGATCGTGTTCTTGCATTGCGACGCGCACGACTTTGTCTACGGAGCGTTGATTCCAAATACAACAACGTTTGGTATAAACGACGAATTTAGCCGCACTAAACATGTCCGTGTGATAGTACTTACGGGTCATTGAGTTCTCTGGCCGCGGGCTGCTGTGCTACGTCATGGTAGGACTGGCGCCTCACCCACATTAATCACTTGCGCTCGTCCGCCCAGTAGTGTCTGAACTGGACCCTCTACCATGCATACCCTCATGGCCTCTCGCACGATTCTCCTCTCCAGGCTTGCAAAACACGTCGCGCACCCCGCCCCAGGCAGCACACTCGCCCGTGCAGCCGTCCAGACAGCAGCCAGCCTTACGACGGCCCTCCGTTTCCCTCAGACTCGAGCCTCCCGCCCATCACACTCACACTCGCACCGACCGCCTGTCCCATCTCGTCCCAGCTCAACAAGACACATCTCTGCATCCGCTCCGCGCGCGAGCAACCCCTCGGTAGCGCAGTCCTTCGCAGATCCCGACCGGCCGGACCTGCACTACCACCTGTTCACGCCCCCCACGCAGCTCTCGTCCGAATACCCCGTCTTCGCGCTCTCCTTCCTGCCGACGCCTCCCCCGTCCATCCTCTCGTCCTCAGTCATCGGATGGCTGCCCGCGAGTGGCGAAGGAGAGGGTGCGGGCCTGAACGACTTCGTGGAGAACGGTGCGTAGCAGCCAGCCAACCTCCGTCACGCACTCGGGCAGCGCGTACTCACCCAGCCACCCACACACGCCACCCATCCCCTCTCCGCGCGCATCGCTCGCACGTCGTGCGCACAGAACGCTTCCTCGCGGTCCTGCACGAAGCGATACAGTCCGCGCTGCGCGACGGCGTGGACGAGGTGCAGAAGGCCGGCGCGACGCAGACGCACGCGGGCTGGATGCACATCCATGGTGCGTTTTGTCCTCCCTCTCTCTCTCCCTCTCCCGCCCTCTCTCTCGGCAGATAAATTTGCAATGGTGCTCACGGAGCGCTGCGTGCAGACGGCCGCAACGTCCCTGCCCTCCAGCGCGTCGGCGACCCGGACGACATCATCGCGTCCGTGCGCGTGGAAGACGGAGAGGTTAGCCTTCAGCTTGCTGCCGCAGTACGTCATTGCTTCACGCTCACGCGTGCACTTGCAGATCCTCGCGGAGACGTACCAGCCCATGCCCGCGTACCGGCTGTGTACGTCGGACGGCGTCCTGCAGCTGACTGAAGGTCTTGCGGCGAGACTTCTCGAGGTTCTCGAGGCGCGAGTGAAGCAGGAGCATGGGCAGGGGCAAAGGTGATGTGGCGGATATGTGCATACAACGTTCAAGACGTCCATATTTCGGGTGCAATTGTTCTCTTCCGTGCCACTTAACTTTGATGGTACGTGTTTTCCTAGTGTCTTAAGCTCAGAGTGTAGCTCAATGACGGTTAGATGTGTCTTTGTCTTGAACACAGCATGCCGCATACGAATACGCGATATGCAAACAAGAAAGCACGATGCACCTGTATATGCCTAGTTACATGCAAAGAGATGGTCCTTGAACACGATATGCAGTCTATCCTAAAGTCCGTGTCGTGGGCTGCTTCAAGCACCCCGGATGCCGTCGTCCGTCGTTGATCTTGGTGAAGCGCTTCTCCTTCGGCAGGAACCCACTACACATCTTCCGCACTCCCGACCCCTCTTCCGGGCGCACTAGGTCCCAATGAGGGCCCGTCGACCTACGACAGCCCCTGCCCAGGTCCCAGCGCCGGTGCAGGCCCGAGATCGAAGGGTATTTGAGTCGGCACAGAGCTCTGCGGTCGCCCGGGTCGCAGCGCGGCAGGTATCTCCGCTCGCGGCGGCACCCTCGCCCCTCCCCCATCTCCGCTGGCCCGGCTCCTCCTCGAAGACATCCTCCCGATGCTCCCTCCATCCCCGCGCGCGTGCGTACTGGGGTCCGGCTGCAAGTTGAGATGCGGCTCAGGCGACCGCCCGCTCCTCCCCTGCGGCCCCGCGTGCGCCTCCGCCGGCCGCTGCAGCTGCAGCTGCAGCCGCGCGTCACCCTCGGACTGGTGCGCGCGGTGCGAGCCCTCCCTCGAGAGCGACGGCTGCTCGCGCAGGGCGGGTTCAGACGGGCCGCGCTGGTGCTGCCGGTCCCCGCGCGCGTCGACGTCCGGCTTCGGAGCGTGCGCGGACTGCTGGGCGATCCAGTCGCGCGTGCGCGCCTTGGCGCCCTTGCGCGCGTCGAGTATCGCGCGCTCCCTGTCCTCCTCCAGCTCCGGCTCCGGCTCCGGCTCCCCGGCGCCGCCCTCCGCCCGCGGCGAGCGTGAAATCGAGCGCCGCGTGCGCGCCTCCATCGACGGGCGCGGGGCCGGCTGCGTCGTCGTCACCCTGCCCTCCCCGCTGCCGGAGCGCGTCGGCTGGAGCCCGATGACGTGCGGCGCGTTGGGGGCCCCGGCGTCGCACGGCTTGGGGCCGGGGCCGGGCGCGTAGAGCTGCTCGACGGTGCGCTCGAAGTCGTCGTCGGACATGTGCCGCCGCCTGCAGGAGCAGCACGTGCGGGAGCGGGGGCAGCACCCGCCGGGGGCACCGGTGTCTGCGCGCACGCGTGATCGGCGTTAGTGTCACATCAGGGGTCGGCGTGGCCCGCCTCGTCGGCGTTCACTGGGGAGGGGAGTCGGTGCGTTGACGGATGTCGTAAACGACGGCAGGGGTATGTGTAGTGTGCAGATGGGAGCAGAAGGGGGGGGGTGGGCAAAGAGGAAGAGGGACGTACTCAAGAAACACCACAGCTCGTCGGTTTGGGAACAGGCCACGCCTGTGGTCGCGTGCGCCGTGCGCTGCTGTCAGCTCGCGCGCCCGGAGTACGACCAGAAGTGCGACTGAAGCCACTCACAGCAGCAGGTGCATAAAGCGGCGAATGCCCCAATGCAGTCGTCGATGCCGGCCATGGCGTCGATTCAGCAAACGATGGTTGTGCGTGGGTTATATGAGCAGTATGGACGGAGCAGTTAGTACTAGACGGCCTCTGGCCGCGTCGGAAACGATGTAGAGACTGGCTGTGGTCGGTATGCGATCGCAGTCGATGCGAGCGTGCAAGCAGAGGGGCACTGGGGCCTTCAGAGGAATATAGACTCGTTTCTCAGGACAGGGACAAGGAGGTGGTAGAACAAAGGGATCCTCCGCAGCCTTGAGCTCGTGAGTCGTATCCGGCCGAGGATATAATAAGGGAAGTTCTTCTGTGGGCAACGCACAACGTTCAAGAGATGGATGTTCCGGACCCACGTTAGCGCGAGAGAGAATAGCGAACGCTTCGGCTTATACCCGAAACTGGTATTACGGAAGGGCTGTACAAGGGTGCCGTGACGGATTCCGCGTCTACATGGTCGCTGTTGTAACTTGTGCGCCCAACCGCGGCCAGACGAGGCGGCATACGCAGAGGAGTCTGATGAAATGGTGATCGCTTTGCGGGGGCGGTGTTCCGTCATTTCTCTCACATCCATGTTCGGGAGGCGTGCCTAGCAAGCAAGTTCTCATAGGGGCGGTGCCCACGCCGTTTGCGCCTGCGCGCAGGATGGGAGGACATTGCACAAAATAGGAGGACATGGCAACCATGCCAGCTTCGACGACTAAAAATTGATCGGGATGCAAACCACACGTGAAACGAGACGCTTCCAAATACTCAATCAACGGCGAAGCACTTGCATGGGAAGGTACATGGTGCGGGCTTGAAAGAATCGAGCGATCATCTCAATTTCGACTGCTTTGAACCCCCAACAGAATCAACGTACGCCGACACTCAGATCGTCGTGCATGCGCCGTGCGCACCACGTGAAGTAGAAGCTGAGAAATATATGTCCAGGGAAGGGCAGCGAAATCATAAGGCAGGTGCGAGGTGTATAGGTGATTAATTGAATTTGTACGTATCGATCGCTCCTTGTTTCAGAATTGCTCATGGTGCCATCGTAGTTACGTCGTGGCATGTCGTCTCCCATTAGGGATAGGAGTGTTCTGCGCGTGAATCCGATGCCGGCACATAGGGCCACGTCGTTGGACACAGGGCTGTACTACCGCGATGGAAGCAATCTTTGCAACACCGCGTCCACGTTCTCTACCGGAGACAGAGGCCACTGTCCATCCTGGATAGCGGCTTCCTGAGGGAGTGTAGACCAGTTGGGTGACGGAGTAGCGCGGATGTGGGAGAAGTCCTGTACAGCTAGATGGTTCTCATTGCTCTGGACATCCTGAGTAACGAGAAGATGATCAGAAATCATATAAAGTCAAAGACGAGGCCAGGTTCGGGTGCCTATACGACATAGATAAAGAAGACGCACTTGGCGGGTGGGATCTGTTAGGACCGAACTTTGCGTTAACGTGAAGTGCTTCAGGGATGCTGGGTATGCAGCGAAGTGCATAGCAGAGCAGTGCTCGATGATAGGGCTCGAGGATGCCGTGATGTAGACGTCGACCTGAGAGGAAGCGTGAATGCGGAACTGTTGGCGATGTCAGCGGGATATTGTTACAGAAACGAAACACATTTGTGACATAAGGACAATGAGAGAAGAACCAAAATATGTCCGACAAGTTACTAAACGGTGTGTTATGGGCTTTCTGCGCATATTTTGCAGCCAATCGGAGTGAATGAGCCGCAGAGAAACCTGTCAAAATCATAGGCGGTTTGACGGGATATGTCAGAACATTAAGACACAAAGTGACAGTCGACGTCCCTATCACACGTTCTCATCAAAGAATGTGCCCTTACAATCATATGTGCCACGCACAACAATCTGTAGAGAGAAGGACATACCTGTCGGCTTCCTAGAGCAATTACACAAATTTTCATGTCGTGCAGGAGCGCACTGCCAGTGATTATCGGCAGCACCAGTACCGTGTTTGACAGGTTCTTAACATGCAGCGCGGTGAACGCCAGTCCGGATGGATAGTTTGGATTTGCCTCAGAGGGTATCAAGTTGACGATGCAGTGGTCCAGGTCGGATATCGTCAGATCAGATGCTGAAGACCACGGAGAAGAGACCGATGACAGTGTCAGGTATCTGTGCGAATGGCCTGAAATCGACAACCCCGATGTCGCCGGTGTATCTGCAGATGCGCTACCGGGTTGTATTGGTATTGTAGGTGTAAGTGGTCGCGGTACCGCTGCGGAGGCCGTACTATTGGCTGCTTTCCGCTTGAACGCGAACTTCGTTTTAGGTACCGCTGCACCGCGTACACGTTCTATATCCGACTCAATCGCTTTGATTTTCTGACAGCATTTTGTGAGTGAAGACTCATATCGAGATTGAACACTCTCGATACTCACTTGATCGATATTACGCTGATCATAACTGGGAAGATGCGGAACCGCATCGGTGAAGTCCTTCCTCAGCCTCGAGAGATCAACAGTTGCCTCCTCGACAGTCTCTGAAGTAGCGCCACCTTCCTTTATCTTCTGAAGCTTTGTAGCGAGGTCTACCCGATGGGTGTGATCAGAACAAGTGCTGCGGTCAAGCAAAATGAGGATGCCGACCCTGAACAGCAGCATCTAATCGTCCATAGTATCGCTGTCCGAGCTCCTGATTCGTGAGTTCCGTCTTCTGTTCAGCCATTATACAACATATATCATGCTTGAGAGAACGCTGAGTCAGATGTGGCTAATTGTCGAGGCAGACTGGAGGACGAAGGTGGACGAAATCACTGCAAGCCTACGCGACTTGCCATTGGCAAGGAGTACCGTCACAGTCACCAGAAGGTCACACGTGACACAGCGGTACTTGGGTGCGGCTGAGCGTTTATGCAGCTTGCAGGTTGCTCTCGTCCTCCATCGCGGCACCTGTGACTCTCCCATCTTTCTCTTGCTGCCCCTCTAGAACTTTACGACTTAGCCAACATGGCCGACACGATGGATGTCGATGTGGATCCTCCGACTACCGCTGAGCCCAAGGGTAAGACCAAGGAGGACGCCAAGGGCGACAAGAAGCGCTTTGAAGTCAAGAAGGTGCGTTTACCTGAGGATTGTGCATTATTCTCAGACTCTTCTGAACCTTTCAATTGCCTCGAACAGTGGAACGCCGTGGCCCTTTGGGCATGGGGTGAGCTGCATTGCGATTATCTGCGTGTTGGCGATGCTTATTGAGCACTTCCTATTAGACATTGTCGTCGAGAACTGCGCAATCTGCAGGAATCACATCATGGATCTCTGTATGTCTCAGCTTCATCCCAGGCGTGTTGCTCATTTTGACTGGTTACGGCGGTTTAGGCATCGATTGCCAGGCGAACCAGGTCTCCGCCACTTCCGAGGAATGTAACGCCGCCTGGGGTATCTGCAACGTAAGCGCTCTGTTCCTCGTACTTCGCAATTGCTGCTATCTGTCAGTATGCTGACGGGCATCCGGCAGCATGCATTCCACTTCCATTGCATCTCGCGGTGGCTCAAGACGCGTAACGTATGCCCCCTGGACAACCGAGAGTGGGAGTTGCAGAAGTGTGTATTGAACAACCAATCAATCCCTTATCGAGACTTACATGGCGCTCTGCAGGTATGGTCGCTAAATTGTTCACTACTCAGACCAATGTATCAGTGTTTTCCCTCTCCTTGCAATGTATTATACGCCGTCGAGCTCGATGTGTTCCGCTGGATAGTCCCTGTCGCGTGCATCGAATATCATGGGATGGGTTATAAAGGTGTGTACGAACTTATCAATTGTACAATCGACATATGTGGATGGTTGCAGCTGGTCGATTCAGGGCTTCAAAGCCGCTAAGGGGTCGATAAGCGACTGACTTCGCGTTAGCGATTTCTGTTCACGGCCGATAATTTGTGCAGGCCCCCATTATTATCCCGCGCCGAGAGCTCATGATGCCTTCGACGATCACAGCGTGTGTTCCCGTTGATTTGATTTGATTATGATCTTGTATCGATAAATACAAAGGGGTAGCTTTTAAAGCGCTGACTTCAAGATCTAGGTCCCGCAGTGCACCAGATCAAGGCGATGGGATTTCGTATTGAACATCTCGCGTTCTGTACGTTCTTAAGAAGCCAGCCCCATGGCGTCGAACAACATACGCGTCGTCATCAACAACCAGATTCTAGGCGACATGAGCAAACGATACTGATATCATATCCTGTGAGTATCTTCTGTCTTGCCATGGTCGCCAGACAGCCAAAGAGTGCAGACATACAGAAGAAACGTACACTTCGGGAACCCTCATATATCAGAGGCGTCACTGCGGCGAGTCGTCTTGGTCTACATTCTCCTTCAGCTGCGCGGAATTCTCGGTATGCTCCTCTATGATCTCGACTCGTAACTTGAACCAATGCGCGTCCACGTCCTCGTCCTTCGGTGGCACCTCCGCAATATGGAGCACCAGCGTCAACCGGCGCCCCGCCTGGGTTTGGAGCTCGATGTCGGGAAAGCCTGACTCCCCATACCATTGCGTAAGCGCTCGATCATCGGATTCGGAGATGAGGTTCATCGGTAGCGTTTGGGGGGCCGTAGGCAAGAAGGTCGATGCGGTCACTTGCAGACTATGCCCGGGTGCAGTGGAGTTCCGTAGGTACTGGAACTCAAACTCGAGTCTGACCACTAGGTCGTGCCTGGATAGGAGGAGACAATGCAGCCCAAGCGTCTCCCTCTTCCGCCCCTTCCGCCCGATGATGAGGAAGTCCAGCTTGTCCTCGTAGCCTTGGGCGGCCAATGCTGCACGGCACCAGTCTTCGAGTATGATGCGGAGAGCGGGCTTTCCAAGCGATGAGGGTGAAGTGATTGTGGGAGAAGGCGGGAGTTCGCGCCGTAGGGACGTCGCTGGGTTCGTGAAAGGTATGTAGACAGTCTGGACGAGGAGCTCGCTGCGCCAGTCTCGGAGCTGCGTCCAGTCCAACGTGACCATATCAAAGCACCCTCGGATGTTGTCCCTCGGAGGGTCAGACAACACGATGAAACCGCGCTGCAGAAGCTTGGGATGCTGAGGGTCCTGGGACCGTTTTGCGAAGCAAACGCGTGCCAACACCCTACCCCTGTAGGAGGAGTGTTCGCAAGCGAAGATCGCCAGGTACCAAGCCTTGTTGGAAGAGAGGGTGTTATCGAAATGAGCTTTACCAAAGTACACGGCGATGGGTAGCAGTGGGAGCTGGGTACGTATTCCGTAGGGTGAAGTGGTAAATTCGGGGATGGGGATGTTACTGAGTCCGAAGTCGTTCCAGCGCCCGGGTGGAATCGGGTAGATCTGACCAGACTCTGCGAAATCCGTCGGCGAGAGGGGGAGCAAGAAGCGCGGTCTGGTTCCCGCGTTCTCATAGAGCGTTATTCTGGACAGAGGGGACCGTGGAAGCGGTGATGGGCCCAGGTGGGAGGTCACCCCGGAGCCCCACGCGAAGATGGTTTGATCGGGAATCCTCACGAGGATCTCCTCCTGCAGGCGAATGAACGCGTTCTCCCCTTCTCCGTAGAGCGCATTGAGGCGGATGTTGAAGATCCCGAACAGCGAGTAGGCTCTGTCCTCCACTCTCGTCGTCTCTCGATTGGCGGCCCAGGACATCCGCACCACCACCGGGACTGAACTGAGCGCCTTCTGATGTCTCAAGACTCCTTCCTCGACGCCCGTCACCTTCGCTACAGTCGCGATCAGCGTGGTCTTCGTGCCGAAAACCTCCCAGTCGGCGGACAAGAAGACGAGGGATCTAGGTGCGATGAGCTCCTGAAGCGTCCATCCCCTCTTGAACCACCTGCTACCCTCGAAGCGAGATAACGCATCCGAGTCTGATCGATTGGGAACGTCTGCGAGAAACGCGTAGCAAAGGGCAGCTCGACGGTACCAGTCGAACATTGAATTGATCGCCTCCGACAATTCGGAGCTGCTCGTCTTGTCGATACAGCAGGAGTCGATCCAGATGTAGCGAAATCCATCTCTACGTGCGATGGCGCATGCCTGCATGACCTTGGAGGAGAGGGCTTGGTTCTGAAAGAGCGTAGATTCCGTGGAAAGTTGCAGGTCCCGGACGGAGCTGTATGTCTGTTCGCCAATCGGATCCCAAGTGTGCGACAGTATGGCATATTCCTCTTGGACTGGATCGATCCAAACGAAGCGACCAGTGTGGGTATCGAGGACTCGCATCACCTTCCTCGAGGTGTCCTGATTCCATCATAGATCGTAACATACGGGGCGAGTTGTTAACACAGAAGTATAAGGCCGATGTAGCTACAGAAGTACCTCACCTGATCTCTCAAAGAGCCATCCCTTCTGGGAATGCATGTCTCGAGAAAATTCTCGATGTTATCTTGTAGTAACCTCTGCAGTGCACAGTGGCTGTCAGCAAGGGCAAGAGCGGAACATATGGCTGTATGCGGGAAACCTTTTCGTTAGGGTCACGCAATTTCAGCAGGGCCCGTCTCATGGTCGATTGGCGTGGGCGGATGTCAATTAACTTTGCACGGCTTGGACCCATCTATAATCCCCTGACTGTGCGTGGAACAGAGCGATTGTTGAGTATCAGGTACGCGAAGTTTGCTCTGCATATAGCGACTGCAGCAGAGACCGACAGCAATCAGTGGGCGTAAGTAAAGGCAAGATAAGAGAAGGTGTATCAGACTTGGGCCTGCCAGATCCTTAGACTCAGAAGCTGCAATCATTGAGGCGGCTCACGAGGCCGAACACGTGAGCATTTTCCGTTTCAGGAACAATGGCTTTGCGCTTCACCAAAAAGCCCAAGAAGAGCTTATCGATGTATGTCCGCAGTTCAATCATACCAGCCCTCTTTGCAAGACCAAGTGAGATGTGTAGTGAGAGTGCTCAGCATTTTGCGCCAGTTTACTCCGCCTTGACGCAACTCTCGCACGTAGAATCAATCGCCCCACTCTACTCCACGTACCTCGAATCAGGATGCAGTCCGTACGTGTACAATAGGCTACGTACTAGTTGTGTATCCTCAAAGCCAAACTGTTGCTTTAGTCTTGACGCATACCCACCTTATGATCTAAAATGCGACACCCAAAATGTCTGGCTGGACTGAACGTCACCTTCCTCAACGACAGCCCGTTTAGCTCCGCGGTCATCGACAGCAAGTCCGGGAAGCTTCTGTACTCTATCTCTACCCAGACTGGCGACACCGCGCGCAACACCACCGTCAGCAATAGCCAAGGCGAGGTCGTCGCCACACGCGAGCAGAGCTGGTGGCCTGGTGGCCGAGGGTACGACAACGTCAAGGTCCACGGGCAGAGGTGTACCCTTGAGCACTGGCTGCCGAGGAGGAAGAGGGCGTGGGCTTTCACCGCTAGGTGGGTCACGAGCGCGATACTTGCGAGGTGGTGTTATGCGGAGGAAGGGGTTCTGGAAAGTACTCACGAAGACTCATTGACCTAGCGTATGGATTCTTCCTGAGCCGAATGGAGATGTTTACCACTGGCAGAGTCTGGGAGAGGCGTTCAAGGTACGTGCTTTGTCGATGCTGACCCATGACTAGCTTCTTACCCGGAGCACTTCCACTGTTCATGGTCAGCTCGTGAACCCACGAACGAATGAGATACTCGCCCAGTCGCATCCAACCCACCATTATGGAGGCACCAAACTTTCCCTCGACGTCAGCCATGACGTGCTCCACATGCTTGACACCATCATATTCTCATTCGTGGTCCTCGAAGGCTCGCGAATCGCCCCCGTCTGCACAGAGAGCAAGCGCAGAGGCGAAGGCGCACGATCGTCTCGTACTGACAAGAACGGCCACAGGAGAGCCTTGTCAGAATTCAACGGGGTGGAACGCGTTGGCACGCTGGACGCGGACACCGGTGTTACGACCCGTACGATACGAGTTTCCAGCGTTTGAGAGAACTCCTTGAGGGCAGTCCGGCGCGATCGGGACGTGGGTTGGGTGGAGCCATGGGCTGCGGTAATGCTCCATGATAACAACGGGGTGCGCTGCCTCGACTCCACTGCGTTCATATCACCTGTAGCGCTCGTATCAGTCTACTTATTTGTATGAAGAAAGGCAGCTTGTACCTACTTGATTATCACTATCCACAGCACAGAACCCCGGCCCACGAGGTGCATCGCAAACCATCCAAGACTGAAACCCGCGGATATGGCCGACTCCTTTGGGCTGACCGTCTCCTTCCTACGGGACGAGCCGCTCAACTCGACTGTCGTAGACGCCATGTCCGGCGAGACCCTCTACGAGATATCAACCACCCGCAGAAGGCTGCAGCACGACACGACGACCATCCGCGATGCCCGCAGCCCCGGGGAGGTCGCCGCGACGTGGGAGCATAAAGCGCTCGGGCACGATACGATCACGATCAGAGGGAAGGCGAACAAGGTGTCAAATTGGGTGTCGGCCAAGGGCGTGTTCTCGAAGTGCGCATGTATGCATATGCGGGAGTCGCTGTTGCTCACCAGGGATCTTTGCGCGTGCAGGACATGGACGGTTGCATCGCCCCAAGACCCCGGGATGTACCACTGGAGGATGAAAGACGGTTCTTCGGAACTTGAGGTACGTGGGCAGAAGTCCCGAGATTTGTATATGCGCAATGTCAACTCGCGACTGACCATCTCTTAGCTGATCCACAACGAAACCAACACGGTTGTTGCCGAATCGCATCATGGCTATGAGAGCAAGGGAACGCTCATGAGGATCGACGTCAGCGCAGACGTCGCGCACATGCTCGACAGCATTTTGCTCTCGTTCGTCATCCTCGAGGAGAGGCGAAGAAGGGAGGGAAAAAGTCCCGTCGCGGACGCGATTGCAGGCGCAGGTGGCTATACCCGCTGGGCGAACTCGGGCGGGCGGGCGGTGCGGTACTAGCGGCGGCGGAGCCACCTTGGTCTCGGAGCGAGAGGACAGGCCGGTATAGGGACTCGCTGATCACGATGTCATCGGCGAACGCCTTTGACGTGAGCGGACGGAAGCTCGAGGTTGGATTACCACCCTGTTTCGCCGGCATGTCGGTCTCCACCTCGTGAGACCGCACTGTAACAGCGTGTTCGGCCGTACGGCCGCCCGCCTCCCTGGATCGGTGTCCGTAATCAATAATTGAGAACCGGAGTATGACACTGTACACACTCACTCACCTCTCGCTGCATCAATGCGTGCCCCCGACTCAAGACAGCATGTCATTTCGTTTCTGAGGGATGACCCTTTGCGTTCAAACGTTGTGAACGCGGCGTCAGGCGAGAAGTTGTATAGCATCACGACAGAGGGAGTGGGGCTTCGGAAGGACACAACAGTCCTTCGCGACGCCTAGGGCAACGTCTTCGCGGATTGGGAGCAGAAGTCATTCCGGCGCGACCAGGTCACATTCCACGGGGTGAGATGCAAGCTGTCCAAGTGGCTACGGAAAAGGAACATACTCTCGAGGTGAGATCAACGACCATACATCTTGTACATGCACGGAGAAAGCACTGACAGCTCGCGCGCACACCGCAGCACACGCGTATTGGTGGCACCAGACGGCGAAGAGTTCCACTGGAAGGAGAAGCCAATAACCTTCGAGGTCCGCATTGCGTCCGGCGTTAACTGCTTTGACCCAGAGATCTAGACTGACCCGCTGCGCGTGTATCGCGCACGCAGCTCGTCAGCATGCGAACGCGGACACCCATCGCTCGGTCGCACAACGCGCATTCGGCCGTGGGACAGCTGCTCAGCTTGAGCGTTGCACCTAGCGCGGTTCCGATGCTCGACGTTATCCTGTTGTCGTTCGTCATCCTAGAACAGCGGCGCCGGGAGGAGCTGGGCGGGGCGAGTGCTACCGGGGGTGCCGCGTATACTGCCTCCGGGACGTCTGCAGCGAACGTTTCGTCTCCCTGAGCGTCCAGAAATCGCAATCGAGGCCAACTTGACAGGAGCATGTGCGACGTAGCTGGGTGTCGTGTGCGATAGAGAATGAAGAGCATTGACGGGAGGGCCGGCATGGCGGCGGGGAAGCTGGGGCATGACATCAGATGACCAGACGTTAATGGCAGATTCAGGGGGCTGGTCGGTTCTAGCGCAAACATACCGGTACCGCGAATGTGCGCTTCTCGTCAACAGCCTTGAGATTCAAAGGACGAGGACGATGCCGCTCGGCCAATTGTGGTGGTTGGACGGTTGACTAGGCTGGTCGCATGTGTGCAGATAGCGACCTGGGGCATGAAAAAGCTTCGCCTTTGGTAGACTTGCATCTCGCGGACCAAGCCAGGGCGTCAGCCCGCGACATTCGGAGGTGGCCACAGGTGTCGCCAAGAGCATGGTGCCGGCACAAGTACTGGAGAACGAAGTTAAACTTTGAAATCGAGAGTGATCGGGTGCTGTCGTTAGATTGGACCTGAATACGAAGGAGGACTGGAGTGTGGAATCGTTGCTCAAGCGCTCAACACGCTACCTCCGCCGGAGCGAGACCCGATCTTGCAGGTCGCATATGGCGGTGCAGGTGACGTACTGGCAGCATCCTTAAGCAGTGCTACAATAGCAGCAGTGTACTGTGCGCGCCATCTCCACCAGCAGCACTAGTCGGGGCCATAGACCGTAGGGCAAGCGCGATGGTACTTGAAGAAAACTTGCCAAGCGTACCAGCAGAACGCACAGATGTGAGATCCATTCGAGGGTCATCCAGTATACCACCGCGCAAAGAGCAGCGTCCGGCAGTCGATGGTGACGAGACGGTATAGGATAGTCACCCACATATTTTAATGTTTACCTTGAGCGTACCCGCAAGACAAATCGCAGCGATGCTGTTGGTTCCGGACTTTTCGCTCTAACTTTACACAGGCGCTCAACGGACCAGGCCGCTGGGCGCCAAATAGACCCTTCGTCAACGTTTCTTCCAACCTCTTGGGAATCGGAATTGCTCTGCACAGTTGATGAATGATTGCTGGTATGTAATAGCACGACATGAGGCGTCATATCTGTGAGTGACCCAGTCAGAGATGGCGAGTATAGCACATGTGTTCCTCATGCTAAATATGGACATTGCTAGGATGGTTCTCAACGCACGTTCGTGGTCGAACCATGTGAGGACTGTTCTCTGCCAGTCTCAGGGGCCCGCGCGACGTGCTACATCAATCAAGCTGTCGGGCTCGCTGGAAGAGCGGCCTATCGGGAGACGGGCCGCCAGGTACCTGCTGAACGTGCTTCTCCTCTCTACGGCGTTGGGTAGCCTTAGAGTTGTGCGGGCATGCGCACCCAGTCTAGGGTCGTTCCAGATGGGTGCGGCTAAACCCAAGCCTGGCCCGGCCGTCGATAGGATACAACCATCGTCCTCATCCCATAAAGCACGCGCCGTCAAAACGCTGTCGCCCTCGAGTCTTTCCTCCAACGCGTTCGATCTCTACCACCGCCCGTTCGACGCACACGACCTGGGCCGAGATGCGTGCAGCCCTCGTTCTCGTATCCACACTCGCCTGTGCGGGCTCTGCCTTCGCCGCCTCCGCGTTTACGTTCCAGCCACCCGCCGCATCGCCCGAGTCGTCGTCGGCCAACTACACGGGCCAGACGAACAACACGCTTTCCAACGGGCCCCTCGTCCCCGGAAAGGCCTTCGATCGCTTCATCCAGATCTGGATCGAGAACACTGATTGTACGTACCTCCATCCCTCCAGCCAATCGCGCGTCGCGCATTTGCCATCGTCGCCGCCAACCCAGTTGACGGGGTGTCCCATCCTCTGTGCTTTCTAGACGAGACCGCTGCGTCGTCGCCGGTGTTCCAAAACCTCAGCACGCAGGGTCTCCTGCTCGACTCGTTCTACGCCGTCACCCACCCTTCTGAGCCCAACTACATCGCTGCTGTCGGTGGTGACTTCTTCGGGGCAGGCGATGACAACTTCTGTGAGTCCATTTACGCGCATCTCGGGGTGTCGTCAACTCATCGGTCGGCCGTATGCAGACCATATCCCCCAGAACATCTCGTCCGTCGTCGATCTTCTCGAGGAAAAGAACGTCTCTTGGGCCTCTTGTGAGTATCGCTCCTTGTGTTGTTCAATATAGAGAGGACCTCTGGTTCTTAGTATGTTTTGACAGACCAAGAGAACATGCCCTACGATGGGTTCACGAGCTTCAACTTCACCTCAGAGGATTACTTGAGTGAGTTATCCTCGCGTATATTAAATGTTTGTCTCGGGAAGCACTGATGCGCTTCCGGTACCGCAGACGGCAACGGCACGTATACGTACTACGTGCGCAAGCACAATGGGTTGATCATCTTCGACTCGGTCGCGAACGTTTCCAGCCGCGCACTCCGTATCCGCAACTGTGAGTGCACCAGCATTTGATACTGTTAACGGCGAGACTGACCGGAGTTCATAATCAATAGTTAACGACTTCGCCAACGATGTCAAAGCCGATGTGATCCCTCAGTGGAGCTTCGTCACCCCCAACCTTGTCAATGATGTGAGCGTGCTTTGTCACTTTCGTTGAGTTTGGACTGATCCTGATTTCTTCAGGGCCACGATACGACGATCGACTTCGTCGGCGACTGGCTCAACTACTGGCTGGTCCCGCTCCTGGCAGACACCAAGTTCAACAACAACCGCACGCTGATCCTGCTCACCTTCGACGAGACCGAAAGTGAGTTGTTCCACCGGGATGAACTTCCTTGTGCGCATATACCTGATGTATTCGTCTGTCATAGCTTACACTATCAACAACCGCATCTACACGCTCGTGCTGGGCGGCGGTCTCCCCGAGAACCTCCGGAACACGACCGACTCCACGTTCTACACGCACTACACCGCGCTCTCCACCGTCGAGGCGAACTGGGGCCTCAAGGCGCTCGGCCGCGGCGACACCAACACGACGCTCAACAACGTCATCGACTTCGTCGCCAAGAAGACCAACTGGACCAACAACGGCCTCGCCGGCAACGACACCCGCATCCGTACGTCCGCTCCTCCTCCCCTCTCCTCCCCCCTCCATCACCGCGCGCATATCCCGTGCTGACGACCCCCGCTCGCTCTAGCGCTGCTGAACATCACGGGCACGATCCCCGGCCCGCTCAACGCCGAGTTCTACATCCCCTTCGTCGCGCCGAACACCTCCGGCGTCAGCGCGGGCGGCCAGGGCGTGTTCGTCTCCCCGCTGCTCGACACGGCGCTCACGCTCGCGAAGGCGCCGCAGCCCGTGAACCTCACCGCGTCCGGGCAGGCGAACCCGTGGGGCACCGACCCCGGCTTCAACTATGCGAACGGGACGGAGGTCATCCAGCCGCCGGCCGCCTCTGCGAGCAGCACGGCGCCGGCGGGCGGGAAGAACGCCGCCGTGAAACTGGGCGCGGGCGTGAGGGAGGGCTTGCTCGTCGTCGTGGGTGCTGTTGTGGGCGCTCTGATGTTGCTTTGAGAGGAGGGGTTCGGTTTCGCGGCGAGTCGTTCTTGCCGGCCGCCCGTTTCTTGATAAGTTATCCAGATGCTAAGCTCTGCTCTCTAGCACGGGCTTAGGGGTGACCTTGAGGCGTTGGGTCATGCACGAATAAGCTGTACATCCGTAGTGTAGCGAAGAGCAGTGCTATGAATTGAACGCAGAAAATAGCTAGCACCTAATCTACTCCCAATCTGCTATGCGCCGTATCATCCGACCACTACGAATGCGTCTACAGGAAGGATCCGCAGACGGGAGAACGGTCCGCCCGCGCTTCTGACCGAATTTGAGGACGCGCGGCACCTGAGCATCACTGAGAAGAAACAGTTTTGCTGGAAAAGAGTAGTATACGCGAGACATGAGGAAGAGCACATTCCAAGAGTTTGGTTGTGAGACTTACTACCAAGGGCTTCTCTCCAGTATGCATGCTGTATGCGCAGTCATAACGATCTCGACCTCCCTGCCCGGGGTCCGTAAGCTTGTAAGCCCATTTCGGATGTCGTCTTCGATGCTGTCCTCGATGACCAAGAGCAGGTACTCCTCGGACGGCTCGGTGAATCGCTCGAGAAGCGATATCCAGTACGTTCTGTCGTCATATGGATGTGAACTTTCGAACTCTTGACGGAGGTGATTTCTTAGCTCCTGGACAGACAGGACTAGCTCCAGCGTCTGGAGCTCCGAGAGGGAATCCAGCGACAGACAGGCGTCCAGCTGGCTCACACCGTGTCTGTGAGCCTCTGTGAAGAAGTCTGTGTCGTATAAAACGTGGTCTAGTGTTCCGGCAGCAGGCAGCACTAGAACCGGGATTGACTTGAGCTGGAGACAGCGAATGCGGGAGGGGAGGTCACAGAGCAGCCCTTTCAGTTGCTCCCATCCTCCGGGGACCACATCGACAACCAGAGAATGCAGATCCAGGAAATTGCGGAGGGATATGGCTTCTAAGGAATTCAAATGGTCATGAGAAGGGTCTTGGTAGCCTCCATAAAATGATAGTATGGTACTATACTTACCACGACAATCTATCCTCAGGGTAGACACGGATGGGGCGACAGTATCCACAAAGTCGATGCAAGGTTGTCGCAAAGGACCTCTGTGCGATTTCATTGGGAGGTGGAGGGTACTGAATGCCAGATCGCGAATGGAGAGACGGGAAGGCGTCTGCAATAACCAGTGGAAGAGCACGTCCAGCTCTTCCTGTGTGAGGTCAAAGCAAACCCTGAAGACGCGCAGTGCTGGGCGCTTTTGTGGACTTGCGTTCTGCCAGAGCTTGTGGTGGGGTAACGGGAACCATCTATAGTTCGAGTTGTACAAGACGAGGGTGGACAATGAAGGCAATGAACTGAGTGCACGACGGAAATCATTGAAAGAGGGGAATTCCGTCTGGTACATCTCGAGATAGGTGACGGAAGGGAATTGCGAAAACATTCTGAAGATGCTCGGATGATGGGGTACAACAGTCCAGTCCGCGCAGCCGATGATGAGATAGCGAAGATTCGGCAATCGGCCTGCAAAGTCGTGGAAGAAGCGGTATCCTCGCTTGTCGTCCCAGTCTGCAAACTCAGGGTTGAAGCTTAAGGACTTTACTCCTCCAAGCCACGGTCTCATGCTCTCTGAGCGGAGGAAACGGTTGAGAACTTGCTCATAGCCATCCATGCCCCTGATTGAGATGTGCCGATGCCTCGCCAGACAGAGTCGGCTGATAGGTGTCCAGTCCGGATGGACAAGGGCGCAGCTCCTCAAAGACAACACATCGTCGGGATCGATTGATTCAATGACTGCATTCCAGATATCCTGGGGGACGTGGGGAGGCATCTGACAGTATAGTAAGTGAGGTTAGGTTGCACATCTGTGTGTAGAGACAAGTGGCGAACCTCGATATCCCAACTCGTGTGGACGTAGACTCAACTTATTCTGACGTGAAGCACAACAGAGGGTCAGAGAGCACAGACCGGGATTGGGTGTGGTCAAGTCGCAAGTCCTAGGACCCGGGCGTCTTCTTCCCCTTCGACGTTCGTGATTTTGATTGTGCCCACGGTCATGAGGGGGCCCGACCGCCCAACCAATCAAGACTCCTAGTAGGTGCCCGCATAGCACCAAAATCTTTATCTTCAGCACAAGCTCTCTGTCTGCTGCATATCACCTGCTGCATGCATGCCACCAGAATGTAGAACTGATCGCGCAGGATCCGAACTGGGTGAAGCACGGGAACCGATATTCATGAACAACAAACGTGGTCACCGAGGAGAACCGGGAGAATGCTACAAATGAGTTTGGATGAGGGGGGGTGCTCGACTCAATCAACAAAGAAGAGCTCTAGGCGGATGAGGTATGTGGCTCGACTACAAAGGTATGCATCCGACCTAACCAAGGCGGTAGGGTCTCCCCATGCATTACGCCCTCAACGAACGAATCGTAGCTGCGAGCCGGCCGAATAGAGTTGCGATATAGCAGGTAGTGTCTGCTGGCAGTGATCCAGTCATGGCAGACCAATACGCACTCGCATAGGCTCCTCGGGGCATCTACAAAGGATATCATGACGTCAATGGCTGTAGGGGGAGGAAGTGTGGCTTCAACAGTCATGCATGACGAGAGAATGCCTGCGAAACTAGTCCGCAGGTCAGACCACTCACTGAAGGTCTGCCAGTGCATTCGGGTTGAGGTTTGTAACGAAAGTGAGGTGACGGAGCGAGCGAGCTGCAGTTACCCAGCCTCACGGCACTTGCCAGCGTATCTCGATGCGGAGCTGTAGTTTGTCTGGTGTTCGTGGAAGTACACCCACCTTCCGATTGTCTCCTTGGTAAACTGACGAACATTATCCGCGTCTCGATGCCTACCATGCCCTCGCGGCCAACGCGATCCGATCTGTCCTTGGTTCGCTTGTCTTCTATGGTCTGTGCGCAGAAAGTGCGTAGGAGTCGTTATCCAGCTAGCTGACAATCACACACTTACTTGTGATGTGGGCTCGAGCGCATCGAACGATAAAAAGTGCAAGGTGTCGATGCTGATTGTCGTCACTCCAACGCAATGCCTCTCTCCGGGACGGACCATTATCATGATGTTGTGCAGATTCAACCGTGGGCGTATAGTAGTACATGAAGAACTAGTGCGACAGTAAAGTCAGTCCTGGGTAACCATGAAATACAGCGAAGACTCAAGAAGGCACAGTCCTGATCAGATCCATATACTTTGCTCTCTCCTTGGCCCATTCGTCTTCCTGCTTCAGATGGGGCGTCTCCATGACAGTGTCAACCCATGCCAACCCCCAAGCCGCGCCGCCGACTTTGGAGCCACCAAGCACGGTCTTTTGGGAGCCATCCGGGCATACCTCCCAGCGAGCCTGGGTAGGCTGAGTGTCCGAGCGATCTGGGCCGGTGAATGTGATGAGTGCTATGTCTTGGTTGATGCATTGTGAAGAACTTACAGAGCACGATGCCTGTTTGCGGTTCGTACACCCCAAGTGGCAACCGGCTCTCCTGCTCACGCCTCTTCCTATCCTCAGCCATGATGTCCTCCGCAGACCTCTTCTCTCCCCTCCCCGTGTCGATCTCACCAGTCCCCGTCTCCCCCAGGATCCCGCCACACACTTTGAGCGCCTCCCTTCGCAAGTTCGCCCACTCCCTGGACATGTCGGCTGTCCGCTCCGCCGCGACGTACATCCAGTTCTCCTCGTTCACCCCGTCGCGCGTCAAGTATGACTTGCGCACCGCATTTAATGGTCCGTCGCTATATGGGCCCCATCCCGACGGCCCGAAGATCGTCGTGGGCCCCCCGGCGCGGTATAACCCGACGTAGCCACTGCTCCGCTCGCCCTTGCTGGCCTGCGCGCCGGCCCCGCCAGAAGCACCGGCGGCGAGCGCGGCGGCTTCGTTGGTGAGGTTGGTGGTGTCTTGTAGATCGCCTACGAGGTCGCCGGGTTTGAGGCCTTTGGCGGTGACTTCTTCCAGGGCTTTGTCTTCGTAGTAGTCGTCGATGACCCACCTACCGTCTGTATGCGTGATGTTCACGATGTATACGTCTGGCCGTGATAAGGGAAGTAAGGGCTTACCGACGAGCATCTTCGCGCCATGCAGCTTGTATGCGCTTCGCGCGGTGATAAGGGTCACGCTGCGCGTCTTGAGGTGTGAACCAAGCTTCCCTACTTCAATGAGATGGTCCTTCTCCCACTGGGTCGCGTTGAGCTTCATAGCCAAGGGATTGCGCCGGAAGTAGTAGAGTGAGTCGCGGAATCCAGACGTTCGGGCAGCGTCAATGGCGAGCATATACTTGCGCTCTGGGTGGCGATTGGGCAAGACAAACGTCTGCGATTTGAATCTCCTCCCTGTGGAATAGTTGGTGCTGCAAGGCTTCACATCTTGGGCTATGGGCTTACCTCCGAGCAAGTTGCCGTTGGCATCGATTTTGGTATCACCCTTCGGGTCGTCCTCGGTCACATACTCGTCCCCTTCAATTACGTAGACCTTCCCCTGTATCCGTCGGAATGGCTTCCCGCCGCCTTCAGGTTCCACAGGTTCCTGCTGGGAGGGGGCGTCCGCAACCTCTGTAGACTCCTCTTCCTGCGCCTCTTCTGCGCCGCGTTTAGGCAACTTGATAGTGATGCTCTTCCCCCGTCCACGCCCTCTCCCCCGTCCTCTTCCGCGGGCAGCACGCGTAATGCCAGTGCCCACCGCAGCGCGGCCGCGTCCTCTTGGTCGCCCGCGCTTCCTCACAGGCGTAGCTTCAACTTCCTCTATGTCGTCGTCGACATCGACGGGGCTGTCTTCCCGTACGCTCGGGTTTGCATCGTCGTCATTGTCGACGTCTATCGGCTCGTCAGCTTCTTCGTCCGCTTGCGGCGTCTGGGGTGCAGACTCGGTCAAACTGACCCCGCTGGTGTTCTGCTGTTCTTCGTCGCCGCCCACGGGAATCTCGTCCTCTTCCTCGCGGACAGAGGAGGCTCGTGCGGCAGCCGCTCTTGCGCGACGCGGTCGGATGCTAATTTTCAACGAGCCGGGTGCCATGTCTACGAGTGCCTTGGTAAACGTGGTGTTCGTCGAGACTGATGCAAACAATCCAAAAAAAGAGTGCTCACAATTCGGCGAGGAGGCAGAGTGGCTGGAGTATGGGAAACAAGACGCGTCCGAGTCCGCGGACCGTGCAGCGGCCAGTGATGGGTCACGTGGTGCACCGGAATGGGCGACAGGTCGCGCGCGCGGCGAGCGCGTCTTGACCACATCCCTCCACCTCCTCTCCCACCCCTCGAGTCGGCACCATGCCCGACACCCCAGAACCGCGCAGATCTCAGCGGGAGAGGAAGCAGGCGACACAATTCGTCTCAGGTATGTCAGAACCACGTCTACTCGCGCGTGACGGAGCCTCACAGGCGTCGCAGTCAACAGCTCCCTTCTGAGCAAGCGCAAACGATCCGACGCGACGGATGACGAGAAAAACGACAAGCCTGACGCGCTGAGCGAGCTCTCTGACCCCGCGCCCACCGAGGATGAGGCGGACGACGAGGACGGCACGCCAGAACCACCAGCCAAGACCCCTGCGAAGCGCAAGACGAAGGCAGCACCAGGACCCAAGAAACCGCGTGCACCCAAGGGGACCACTGCAAAGAAGACAACCGTAAAAGTTCCTCGGCCACCAAAGCTCAAGAAACCCACTGGACGCAGGGGCAAGCAACCCGCGGGCGCTGATGTCGAGTTCGACGCGGAGCAGGTGGCGAAGACTAGCAAGATTTCGGGCGACAACCCCTTGTTTAGTGCGTGTCTTACCTGGTGGTTCACGGAATGCCGTGATTAATGGTGCTCGTACAGACGCCATCATGAATCCCGCTGCAGCGTTACAATCCACAGCGGAAGACTTCCTCGAGTCGCTCTCAAACACCCCTGGCAAGAGTTTGGCGGAGCTTATCAATTGCGTTCTGCGGTCCTGCGGTTGCAATGACTCCGTCGATGAGGATAGGGCGGTCGACTACGACGGCGTGGTGGACGCCCTGGATGATTTTACGGAAATTCTTAAGAAGGTGAGCGAATTGTCTCTCGCACAAGACCAACTTTTCAACGCCGCTGGCAGGACGACACCCCAATATACCCCTTGACGTCGAAACTCCCCATCTTCAAGAAATTTCGCAAGTCGCTCTCGGAGTTCCTCGAACGCCTCATCATATCCTCAGCCGAACTCGGCTCCCTCTACACCTCCGACCTGATGCCCACTCTTCAAACCTGGGTCATCGCCATGTCATCGTCACAACTACGCAGCTTTCGTCATACGGCGACTGTTATCGCGCTGGAAGTAGAGACCTCACTCTGTGACGTCGCCGCCTCAGTAGAAAAGGAAGCCGAAGTAGTCAGTAGGCAGCGCGAAGGAGAGCGAAAGCGGAAGGCCGCGGGCAATAAAGGAAAAGCGGGCAATGCCCGCGATGCCGACCTGGAGAAGAAGGCCGCAGAGGTTCGCGAGCGTCGTTCCAAGCTTGCAGAGTTCCTGAAGGAATTTGTCGACGGGTACGCATTACCCCGGGCTCCGTCTACTTATATCCTCTCACTGACCGCATACACCCAGTGTTTTTGTACACCGCTATCGCGACCTGGACCCGAACATCCGCGCCGAGTGCGTACGCGCAATGGGCCTCTGGTTCAACAAGTACCCCGCACACTTCCTCGATGGCGCTTATCTCCGTTACGTTGGCTGGGTTTTGTCGGACGCACACACGCAGGTCCGCCTCGAGGCTGTCCGCGCGCTCGCCCTTGCCTACGACCAAACCGCATACATCGGTGCCGCGGCGCTGCAGCACTTCACCGAACGTTTCAAGCCGCGCCTCGTCGAGATGGCGGTGGGAGATGTTGAGCTGGGTGTGCGCGTCGCTGTCGTGCAGGTGCTGCAGACGATTGACGGGCATGGGCTATTGGAGGACGAGCAGCGGCAGCAGCTGTGCCTGTTGGTGTTTGACGAAGAGGCGAGGGTAAGGAGAGCTGTGAGCGGCTTCGTGAAGGGCGTGTGGGAGGAGACAGTGGAGGAGCGGTTGGTTGGGAGAAAGCCGTTGGACGCCGACAAGAGCCGTGCTGGCGTGAAGGCCCTCGGGATGCTCCTCGTCAACTGGGGCCGTGCGCTGGACAAGTCTGCTGGCGATGGCGACGGGGACGACGAGAGCGACCTGGGAGAGGGAACGTCGAAGCGTGTGCGCGCCAAGGAGGTCGCATCACTCGTGGGCCACAACCCGAAGGGACGCACTGCGCTTGTGGTGGAGGCCCTATGGGATGAGGTCGAGCCAGTGCGCGACTGGGAGACTTTACTGGACGTGCTACTTCTCGATCATTCCGCGGCTGGTGAAGGGCGTCCGACTTCACGATCTAAAGGCAAACAGACTGTATCTGACGAGGCGGTCGACGAGGCGTATCGGCTCGAGGAGGTCGAAGAAGCGGTCCTCCTCGAGATGCTTGTCGCTACACTTCGGAAGACGCTGGCAGATGCTGCTGCTGCTTCTGCAAAGAAGGTATGTCGACTATCTAGCCTACTCTTCAGTTCATACTGATGCGGCTTTGTAGGGCGACGAGGACACGACGCTATCTGATGTCACACGAGCACTGATCAAGGCGCTACCGAGGTTGTTTGTGAAGCATCAGACAGACGAGAGCAGAATCTCGGACGTCCTGCTCATCCCTCAGCTAATGAATCTAGACATGTACCTCGAGATGCGGATGATGACGGTGCGTTGTGTGTGGCATCGTGTCGCGAGATCGAGTTTGACATATCGTATTTCCGGCCCGCAGGCGTACTCGAGCCTGTGGGAAGACGTGACGAAGCAGTTCCTGTCGCACTCGTCCCCAGTCGTGCTTGCGAACGCGGTCGCGACGATCCGGCGTTTGATGGAGGCGACGAGCTTGTCGAAGACGAACAGTGCGAAGATCCTAGAGCTTGAAGACGAGCTGTCGACATCATTGCGGGACGCCATCGCGGGCCGCGACGAGATCGAGGTCGCGTCCTTCACGGAGGACGAGGTACTTTCGCTGGGCGCGATCTGTGCGCGCCTTGCTGCGTTGTCTGGGATCCGGGATATGACGGCCTGGATGGAGGAGGACGAGGGCGGCAAGCAGAGCAGCGCTTGGGACATCGTGAGCGCACTTGCGGAGCGTGGCCGACTTGGTTACAAAGAAGAAGAAATGGTATGTGATTTGTGACCACTCAGGGCCAAAACATACTAAGCATGGATCATGTAGATGGTCGACCGTGCACTACAGCTTCTTACTCTTCACATCATGTGGAAAGCTCGGAGTCTCCCGGCTGCGGCGGAGCTGTCCCCTGACGAGATTCAGTTCCGCGATAAGCTCAAGGAAGAGCGGGAGTCGCTTCTCGAGAAGCTAGTCGAGTTCGCGGTCGGCACACAGTCGAACACGGTTGAAGGCGTGCGACGAGCGGTGCGTCACATTCGGCGACATATGAATTATGTGTGTTGATGAAGGGATTGCAGGCGTTCCAAGGGTTGCTAACTCTGCACATCCTCTTCTGTGCGACGGAAACAACTGCATCGGATGGCAGTCGCTTACCTACTGCTGCTCTCCCACTGTCTCTTGATGACGAAGTGCAACAACGCTGTGCGGACTTCGTTCAATCAGAGATTGAGCGCTATGCCGAGGAGATCTCTGAAGAGCAACCGGAAGAACACGGTAGTAGCGAAGAGGACGATGAGGAAGAGGAAGAACCCGAGCCTGAAGAGCAGCCAAAAGGCAAGAAGGGCCGTAGTAAGGGTAAGGGCGGTGCGAAGCCCACCACGCCAGGTATGGAGCTTCCGCGCTTCGCGAAGGATCGTACGCTGATCCCAGGACTAGCTCCTCGCGCGACGACTCGTGCTCAGTTAGAGAAAGAGTACGTCTTTATGGGCGTCGTCACCACCTTCCTGCGTGCCATTCGTGCTGGGGTCATCCACTTCCGCTATGCCGCAACAATCCTTGCGCACTATGGTCGTCTCGGCCCGACTTTCGACCTCTGCACCAAAGTCATTGTGGAAATCTTGCGAGAGGAGGGTATGTACAAGGATAACGGCGAGGAGGTCGTTGCCATAATCTGCCGAGCACTCCAGGAGGTGAGTTTGATCACTAGCTTGGATGTGTCTACGATGACGAACATCTATGTAGTCATTCATCTTGTACCTCGAGTCTATGGTACACACAGCCGATCATGCGATCGCCCTCGGAAAGGCTTTGTCTGCCTGCTTGCTGATCCGTGGTGCTCAACTGGCTGTCGTCCGACGCCTGGACCCCAAGTACGTTGTCGATATACATACCACGAGCTTGAACTGGGTTGGCAAGCGGCTCGCCGGCTATGAGAACATAAAGAACAAGAAGGCGAGAAACAAATGCATCTTGTTCTTCCGAGTGCTTCAGCCCCTCCTATCCTCCATTGACAATCAGGACTCCCTCAAGATGTAAGTCACTATCTTCCTCGTTGAGGTCCTCAGCCGTCTCACATCGGATCGGTTCCAGTAAAGCGCATCTGGACAACATCATTGCTCAGTCCAAGCTGGAGATCTCCCCCACTTCGAAGCCATGGGAGCCTTATCGTGCTTACGAGAAGAAGCTCTCATCGGCATTGATGAAGGAGAAAGGTGTGCAGGCCACACGCGCTGACTGACCTGGAAACTAATATATGTCGTCTAGGTCCTGGGCGTCGAGGGCGCAAGCGCAAGGACGCCAAGAGCGCTGAGTTCGTTACCACTGACGAGGAGGGCGGAGAGGCGAGCGAAGTGGAAGGAATGATGGTTAATGGCGATGCCGAGAAGCCCAGGCGACGAAACCCCAGCCGCCGTGCAGCGCAGAACGGCGGAGTATCAGAGGGCGAACCTGGGATCACGGAGGACGAGAACGACGGTGCCGCTCCCATCACTACTCCCAAAGCGCGACCAAAACCGCGCCCCGTGCGTAAACGCGGCTCTTCTGCCAAGAGGGCTCGTGAGGAGTCACCTGCTCGCAAGCCATCCCCTGCTCCTGCTCGACAGTCCAAGTCGCCGAGCGCTCTGTCGTCCGCCCGAGAGTCAGCACCTCCAGAAGCAGAAGAATTGGAAGAGCCGGAAGATCTCGAGGAGGAATCACAAGACCCGGAGACCCCGAAGGCTTCTCGCAAGCGAGCACGCACCGATGATGAGGAGCAAGATGAGGAAATGCGGGACGCTACAACGAACGGCATCAGCCATGATGATGCTGCTGAAGAGGCGGAGGCGTCGCAGGAGACGCAGGCGTCCGAGCTGAAGATCCGACGCAAGCGTGTTCGTCATTGACACTGATACCCTGGGACACGAGTGGTGGTGCCCTTATGCTTATTCCCTTCTATTCATGTGCTTCTTTTCTCCCTAGTCATCCCGCCTTGGGGGTTCTATCGTCTTGCTGTTTGTCATGTTGTGCTGTCGCTGACTTCCGCTGCTGAATGTACCACATGATATGTATTGGCATTGTAGCTATCGCGCTTTGCGCTCACCCATAATTCAGTGTCCTGCAAATCCGATTGTGAACAGTTCCTGTACCAGCACCTTTTGGCTCGATGAGGTTGTCCTTCTGCTGACGGAGTACGGGTTGATCACAACCGCGCTAGCTGATTCGTCGTGATTAGCTTAGGATGCATGTGCGTACTGGTTTGCAATTTTTTCAGACATTGACACTGATTCAGGCTAGCAGACTGTTCTCTGGCGTGCTTTTAGTATTTTTGCGGTCCTTCAAATCAACAGGAATACCGCGAACAACTCCATCGCCATCAAGTATGTAGTCCTTGACCAGACTCCTATGACGCCGTTGCTGATGAAGCTGCGACTCTCCTAGCTCGTCGCCCCCTCTCGCATATGAGGAACGAAAGCACAAACAAGTCCAGATATGGTACAATCGCAGCATCCGCCTCGATGCCCACGTTGTGTCTGGCGGAGAATATCCCTAGGTTCGCTGTGTGCGTCTCCACGACGGTCGCGTCCGTCTGCTGGTCAACGAGCTACCAGAGGCAGACATCAGTACGTCACTCTGCAGCCATGGGAAATATTCAGATCGTACTTTGGATCCCCCACCCGTGGTCTCCTTCCAGACGTACGTCTTCCCGTTCGGTGCATGCAAACTTCGAGATCTGCGCGGGTTGCTGAGCTGCGAGCATAATCATCGAGCAGCGCACGAATCCTTGGTACATACGTCGAAAGGAAGCCGTCCTTTGGCAGCGAATCCGAAACAAGGTGCGTCTGGCCTTGGTACGTCACCGTGTCATAGCCTAGTCGGTGCTTGTACTCTGCCATAACCTGACCACGCGCGTCGGCGATAGTCGTCACGCGAGGCCCGAGACTGAAAGGTGTGTGGATATTGAAGACGATCTGACCCGAGGCGTTGTCGACCACCCCCGAGTTGAAGAGTTTGCGAGACGTCCAGCTGATATTCATCACGGCATCTCGGGGGAGGTTTGTGGATACTAGCTGACTTGCACAGGCTTCATCTCTATGAGTACCGCTCTGAAGAGCAGGCTCAAGCGCTCGCCAATCATGATACACACAGCCTGTTGTGGAGTGCGAATGTGCGTAAGAGCTACGATCACATGAGCATCTGCTTGACTCACTCCGTTTGGCGCAGCGCCATCACAGCTAGCCAGAACACTGCTTCCAACGTTTGCATTACAATCTTGCCGTACTATGCCTCCACTGGACAAGAACATACTACGCAAACGCCAGGGCATGTGACCTCGTCAGCTCCTCCTGGATCCCCGTGAGGCGCTTTGGGTGGACCGACGGTCCAATGTCGTGTCATGCACCAGCTGCGATATCTCATCAGTCCGAGGCTGCGGCTGCGGGTACGACTGCGTAATTCCTCATGCGTCGTTCGCTCTCGCATACGACGAACGAGAAGACGACCAACTCGAGGAACGGCACGACCTCAGGGCTTGCATTGATCTGCATGTTATGTTTATCGGAAGAAAACCCCAGATTCTTGAGGTGCGACTCCGCAACGCTCGCGTCCGACTGTTCCTCCACAAGCTGTCGAGGGGATTGATGAATGTGTAAATCTGCAGCTCAAAGAGACTATCTGGGATTCTACCTTCAGTCGTCCGCTCAGGGAATGATGCTCCTTCCACATGTACGTTTTGCCGTTGGGAGCGTGTACCTGTCGATAGCTGTATGTTGCAAGGCACGCACCGCACTCAGTACACCGTTCCAACGAGAGCAACAGTCGCGCGCGACGTACGTGGAATACCAGTGCTTCTTCGTCAACCACTCTGATAGGCGCCGGGTCTGTCCTTGGTACGTCACCCGGTCATGGCGGCCCAACTGGGATTCGTACTCTCCGACCACCTGTCCACGTGCGTCGGACAAGGTGATGACTTGCTTCTTGAGACTGAAGGGCGACTGGATAGTGAAGAGGGTCTGCCCAGAGGCATCGTCGATGAGTGTTGCGTTGAACGCATCGGTAGAAGTCCAGCTGATGTTCATTGCAGAGATATAGATGGATTGGAGGCGTGAATAGGGATGTGATCATTGTGGTAACAGTGGAAGTGGAGGTGTCTCCAGATCGTATATGTACTCGTACTCCTCTGCCGAAGTCCGTGTGCGAAAGCGACGAAGCGTGGCTGTTCATAGCGCGTCCTAGTGAAGGCGAGCGATGGCTGCCATCGTTACCGTACCGGCGGCGCACAGGAATGGTGTTTCGAGTGGCTGCGGAAGCGCTGTCTATGACGTTGGGCGTGGCCTTAGTACAGTCACTCACAAGATAGCCGCCTTATGCATTGCGCCAAGCGACCCCGTGGTAGTAATCTGTACGTGTTAACCATAGTATTGCGATGGTATACGGGCTTGAAACACATATTCTACGCGCTCTCGGGATTGGAAACTTGGCGCGGCTGCCACGAGCGTGCAGCCGCCGTCGCTTCTTTGCCTCGATTCACTGAAGGGACTTCTCGAGGGACAGAGGGTTCAACATCCTATCCGTCACGAGCCCTGTTTCCTCAAGCTGCCTAGAGGTGGGTTGACCGAAGATAGCACGGAAGCCATCCGTGTTGTCGGAGATGGTAACAATTCGATTCCGATGCGGTCTCTCCTCCGGTCCACTCCTTAGGCACCCCGCCGGGCACAACAGAGACAGAATCCCATGCACCGTAGAAGAACTTTCCAATCTGAAGAGAATGTCGGGCATGCGAGGAGCATGTGTTTTTCCATCTCGTCGATGAAGGAGACACTGGTCAGGTCAATCAGCTCTCCAGGCAGAGCATCCAGCGACATCGCCTGTCCATGAGGTCAGTCTCTTGTTGCATCCGAGTGTACATTGCAACAACAAGCTTACCGAGGGATGCTTTAGGAGGGAAGTCGATAGAGGCATAGCCGTGTTGAACAGGCGCTGGTTTACACAGCTGTGAGGTATCCGGCGCTCTACGAGCTCGCGTTGTCGATTGGGTGTCGAGAGTCAAGCGAGAGAGAGAGTGAGAGCGGAGATACACACGAGAGCGTCGAGACGCGAGATGAGTAGTAGTGTCTCGAATTCTCGAACAGCTGGGGCTTTCCCCGAGTAGGTACAGGGTTATTTATACTAGTGTAGGATAATATTAAGTAAGCTGAAAAGAGAGAGAGAAAATTAGATGGTGAATGAATAAGCGAGTCTGGGCTACGATAGGAGTAAGGCGGTTGTCGGACGGCGTCCGAGAACCGAATAAGGAAGCGAGAGTTCCGTTTTTGGGGTAGTAAGCGCTGGCCCTCTTACATCCGCCCTCCAGGCCTTCTGCAAGAAGGACTACCCACGCCTGCGCTGACTAGCCCGCGAGTGGTTTACATCTCGATTCGTCCCCAACCATTGGAATCTTCTTCGTCTCCACTGTCGTCC